CCTCAAAACAGCAACAAAACCTGAATTTGACTGATTGAGTTATTGACGACTTGCCTTGTGGAAGTAAATGTATCCCTGAGTCAGCTCATCAGAACCCTCTCCAGAGAAGATCACCACACTGTCCGACTTCTGCTTGATGTATTTTGAAATCAAGTACATCCCTGAAGTGGAACACACAGAAGTAGAAATGTCATTAAAAGGAGACGGCACAGTTGATGACCTTAATAGACAGATAGGTGATATGAGAAATGACTGAGGTACATACAAGATTCTCTGAGAGGTGTTTTTTAGGATTTTTTAAAAAGGTCTACACAACTGTTGCTCCCACTAAGGGTCTTCTGTGCCAAATTCCAACATCTAATAATAAAATGGGGACATCTGTTGAAATCTAACTTCAAACATTATCTGAAGAAGAGAACAAAACAAAACACATTTGAACCCACKTTAAATATAATGCYGCAAAGTGAGTGTGGAGTTCTGTCAGGAGAGACGCTCAGCGGCAAAATCACTTGACACTGAAGTGACACAATGTAAAGATGTTGAGTAATGTTACTTTACCGAATTAATTACTTGTGGTTATTTTAATTGGACGTTTTTAACTTTTTATTATCAATCACGATCATTTCACAGCACAGTTAGTGGCATTGCTGTTGCCCTCACTGACCTTTTGACTTTAAAGTAATTCCACTGGTGTCCAGTGCTATTCAAATAGTTAAATCAGGAGGAAAAGGAATGCAGCGATTCAGCATAACAGACACTGTGAGCAGCCGAAATGTGAGGGACTACAGTCCAGATAATCATTTTTTTTGTCACCTCAAAGTCTCAAAAAGAAATGAGTCTGTATTCATAGCATGTGACAAAGCATTGTATCAGTAGCATGAACCTCTCACAGAAATGGACAGGAGGATTCAAGTACATTTCAAATAAAGGGGTTTTCTATGCAATATAGTGTAACTGCAAATTGGCACTCAAAATGTAACTACCAATGTAACATCCTAGTGTTCAGTTTTCTGTTTCATTTAATTTTAATTATAACWGTTTTTTATTCTAATTTCATGTCATTTTAAATCATTGTCAAAAAACACAGCATCATGGTACATTTTACAATTTCAGTTGGCCGGATAGCAGTTTGGCAAGCCACTTACACTGCATTATGTTTTTGTGTTCATGTGATATTTCATTTTGCACTCACCAACAGAGGCACGTATTGTAGTGATGTCATATGTCTCCAAGTGGGAGATCACTTCCTCTACTGCTTGGATGCCTTCTTCCGCAGTGAAGTTTACCTCATGGTGTTCACTGCCAATATGAGCTGCAACCTGACAAACACAAAACACAATCAAATGTCCAATTTTTTTCTTTCCAAGAGAACCAACCACACACATCGCTTATCAGACAGTTCTGTGGACCTTGCGAGCAGCAATGACATCTGGACTGTCTTCTGAGCCAATTGAAAAAGTCTGGATGGGATACTGCAGCTTCTCCTCTTTGGCCAGTTTCACCAGTGTAGCAGCRACTAAACTGGAGTCCAGGCCACCTGAAGAAAAGAGGATTGTCGACACAAAGATCCATTCCAAAGAAGTATCTAAATTCAGGTTATGTCAATGTCAACAAAATACTGAACAAATTACTAAATTTCATGTCAAGTGTAAAAGTGTTACACGATGAAAATATGCTAATAMACCGGACCTATAATTTATATTATCTTACCAAGTCTTATCTTTACAGTCGGTGTGTAATGTGATTGACTTCATCATCGTTTTTTTAATAAGGGCTTCTGTTAAAATATAATATATAATTTACCTTCAAAATTTCATGGGACAAATAGACACTAGAGCAGTTTCCGTATATATTTTGGGATGGCAGAAATATAAATTACCTGACAGAAGACAACCAATTCKCCTTTGAGCCATTAGACGTTTCCTTACAGCATTCTCAAACAGACTTCTGATGTTGCTTTTCACTGCTTCCTCATCAAAGCCTGTGGAGACAACAGTTTCAAAGAATGCTAAACAAAATGCTTCTCAAATSATTCAAATCTACAGTAGTTAAGAATGAGCAATCACATACTTGTAGGTAGTTTCTCCAAGGAGTCATACATGGCATGTGCAGGCTCCTTTGTGCAGCAGTGAAACTGTTCCATCTGAATAGAGTGAACTTTGCCATTCTGCTTTAAATCAAAGGCCTCAACGTGCCCAGGAAGAAAAGGAACAATGTTGGCAGGGGTGGCCATTGMATGGGTAATTTCTGTAAGGCCTGTGATCAGAATAACAAGAAGTTAAGCARCGTTTTTGTAACTAGAGTATAAAAKGGGGGTAATAAACCATTACCTTTGGCCTCTGAGCAGACTGCAAGSAATCCATCATCTGTGAGGAGTTTGAACAGAGGACGCACACCATACGTATCCCGTCCCAAAAAGACTTTCCTGTTGGCAGTGTCCAGCAGAATGAAAGCAAACACACCATCCAGCAGAGAAGCCATCTTCTGGATGCCAAAGCGGTCATAGAGGTGGAGCAAAATCTCACCGTCCACATTGGTCTGGTGATCGAACTCAAACTGCTCCCTCAGCTGAAAGAACATAGCACACAAGGGTCTAATTTAATTTCTCTGGTTCTTTATGTGAACAGATAACATGTGAGTAAACCTTTTTAAATTATTTAAAAAGACTATACCAATTAACTGCTTCCTGAACTCAAAAGTTCCAACTGGCCTGCATGCATTTTAACTGGCTGCTTTCTTGAATCAACCAAGCAAGATGGCTGCAGAGATTTGCCTCAGGGGAATGATTTTTTTCTCATTCATTTGTTTTATCTCCCTGTATTACAGATAGAACTTGTTGTGTAAAATGGGGGTTTACGAAGACCGAGAGACAGTGGAAGAAGTCTGTCTCTGTGCTCCATGGTCATATGAAGTGTTCTTTAACAATGATAACAATGAACATCCCTCTCATAGACTCATAGATGAAGGTGTCAACAGCTTGTTCACGACAACAGCAAGGACGACCGATTCTCCAGTTTGGGGTTCTGTGACTGAGTCGCGCTTCACCGAGCTCTGAATAAGCAGATGGACAGCTCTTTGTGCAGCAGCAGTGGTACAGCTTCAGAGTTCAGCAGACTAAGTACTGCAGCCGCTGCACTTGTCGTGACTCAATTGCTGTGGATCACTTTTACAGTTTCAGAAAGTAAGCAGCAAACAACATAGCCACAGGCATAGCAAACAACCCAAACGGTGGCCCGTTTAGAAGTTTAACTATAACCATGACCATTTTGGTTACTATAGTTTTAAATTCAAGCTGTCACACTTTTTTCATCTCCACTGTGTGCTTAAAATCTAGGCTTGTTTCAGCATAACAAACACGGGGAGTATTATCCACGGGTTGTGTGATAGTTCTGTGTGTTTGGATCTGTGACTATTTCAACAGTGTCTCAGTATAACATAGGAATTGAGCATGTATTATTTTATCAAGGGCAGAGTTTCTGAAACTTCCACCAAGTAATGTCTCTGAGGATGCAGCTTGCTTATCCTTACCGTGTGATGGTTGTAAATTTCTCCGTTGTAGCAGAGCCACAAGAAAGGAAACTTCTTGATGCGTAAGGGTTGCATGCCATACAGCTTGTCCACGATAGCCAGCCGGTGGAAACCAAAGCAGCAGTTGGTGAAGCCATTGACATTCTCAAAGCGGAAGGCATCAGGGCCCCTGTGAGCAATCTTCATGGCACTAGTGCACTGAACTGACAGGCACTCATCACTGCCAAACAAAGCCCAGATTCCACACATGTCACCGCTGGAAAAAGAGAGACAGGCACATACAGTATTTATTCATACGAGGTTTAATAACAGTAATGTGTGACATTTAAATAACTCAGGCCTGGATCTCAAGGTGGGTAGGGGTGGGCAATGTCCATCCAAATTTCTACTCCGGACATGCAGTTTGTCAACTTTATTCTTTCCCATTTTAATCTGTCAATCACATTAACTTAAATCGCCCTGCGAGAATTTCTTGATTTCTGAATTGCTGGTTGAACATAGGAATGGGATTAAAAAACTATTCTCTGGTTAAAAAGAATTCATGAAAAGGACGGATCGATCATAATCACAAGTTTCGTTTGTGTTGCTGCCTTCAGGTGCTGTCAAAAAAACCAAAACACTACACAGAGGACCACCAAGCCAAAGTGTGTACGCAGTGTGTTCACATCTACTAAAGCAAACCAGGCTGTTGAACTTGTTTTCTAACATATTTTAAATTACTGACACCTGCATCATCAGTCTCAATCCAGGCCTCAAATAACTGGCATACAAACTAAAAGGAGTCCAGTTCTAACACCTACTGGTGTATAATATAGTAGTCTTACTCTTCGTCATTGAAAGCATTAATATCAGGGGTGAAATCAACAGAATATTTTCAATAGTGAGCTTGTAACACTTGTTCCATGGGAACAGACACTGTCTCCACTGTCTACAAAAGGGTGAAGGATTGATTTCCCAGGTGCAGCTGTGCCAAGCCTTTTTCTGAAAGCACTACTGGCACACTGTGTTAACATCAGTGTTACACCAGACACCCAGTGAGAGGCTCCTGATAGGACAGCATTACTTTGGCTTTTCATGTTAAAAGAAAAGCTTGTAAAGGCACCTGGCACATGACACTGGGATATCAGTATCATCACCTCTGCATGCATGCATGTAGATTCTCAATCAGATCTTGTTTAATTCGAATTTGTGAGGAACACTCCCGGACTCTTAACGGTGTCACTCGGGGGACCGTGCGGTGCGGGGGGGGTTTTTCTTGAACTAATGTCATGCTCCTTTCAAATCACGCCGATGCCCGTTTGAAAACAGCACCGATTCAAAGTGCGCTTCGAGGTGTGCGGAAACTTTAACACCGGACGACCTCTGATAAAAGACGACGCTGCGCTGTCGCACGCAGACGCACGTATCGCTGACGGGGAGGTGATGAAGTGTTTCATCAGAGAGCTGATGAAACACTGGTGGCAGGATCGCACACCTCGCACTGACACCTCAGCCCCCCCCCCCCCCCCCCCCCCCCCCCCCCCCCCCCCCCCCCCCCCCACGTGCCACCGCGCTATTTATCACCGACATCTAAAGTGGAATCGAACGCGTAGAAGCGGGATCCGCGTCGGTTTTCCTCGCTGAGTCACGTACCTCGTTCTGGACGATCCGCGATGTCCCTCGTCGCGCTGGACTCCGGTCACACTGGTGCGTGTGCTCCGCTCGCAGGCGTGAGGACAACCTCCGGATGCTCCCGCTACTCGCACCGACTCAGAAGTGGCTAAAAGAACTAAAGAAAAATGGCCACTGGAGCCTGGTCTATGGGTGACACGCAGCCGAAACCTGCAAAAGAAACAGTCACGGTCTCTTCGTGTAATTTGTTCAGTTGCTGTAGGAGGAGAATGAGTTTATAACTGTGTTAAACCGTGTGAGGGCTGTGAATTACAAGTACAAGTACACACTGTAGTCAGGGGCTTCTCCAAGTTTACGCATAATTAATGAGTGGTCGCTTTGAGGGACAATGGGTGACGTCACAGTAACCAGGCCCACCCTGCAGTCTCAGACAATAGACAATATAGAATAACGGTTTCTTTTTTATGTCACGCTTCCTTTCTGCTAAATCATTTCCCTTAACAATCAGAGAAGTTACTCATGTGATGACTTCACCTCATGGTTTATCCCGTCTAATGCAGAGTGATACTCGTTTTCAAGAGGAATAAGTTGTATACTTTGCACAATCCGGTCTCTAGTGCTTACTTACAACTTATTACACAACCCGTCCCCTGGTCTTATATTATGTTTTGTATTTGATTTAATTTTGTTTCCTATTTTTATACTTGCACAAATACAACACAGCAAATAACTTGCACGTGTAAGTCAGCTTGACAATAAACATACATTTTATGAGATAATTCAGATGCAGATAAAAACAAATGTATTGATGAATGAATTGTACTATGATGAAGCAGAATCTTTGATGCAATTATTTTACCACTGTATCCATTCAATTACTTTTCCTTGGACTCGATTGAAGAATAATATATTGTGTAAATCTAATGTAATGTTAAATTTAAGTGTAAATATCATAACATTTTTAAATGTGCAACTTATAACACTGAGTTAAATATAACCTGATCATTCTGTATGCTAAATTTCACAGGACTTCTATATGAATTTAAAGATTATATCAAGTCAATTATAGACACTAAAACAAGCAACCAAACTGCTCAGGGCCTTCAGAAACTTCTGAGGTAAGAGGTCTGAGGTGGTGAACACTCAAAGAGGGGGGGCATTCATATTTTGTGAACAGGGTAAACACAACCCCATCTGAAGGCAGTGTGACAGACAGACTTTAAGCATACATGTTCACTAACACCCTGGAAGTCTTAGCACCTACAAGAAACAGTCAGGCTATTTTTCCTAACAAAGTTCCTCCAACCACACTTAATTAATATAAAAACTGCAATGAAGCAAGGAGGGGTTGAATGAACCCTTAAAATCAGTCTTCCCTATTGTCTGCAGTGAAAACATTTCAGTACTGGTTGAACCTATCTTTCTGAAACTGCATAAGCTACAATCAGTGTTTTTTGCACTGATTTTATAGTCAGTTTTTTCATAAAAAGGAACTAAGCTTATTTTTAATATTGTTCACGTGTGTGGCATATAAAATTCAAATGATTTATTTAACTGCTGTTATTTTTTCATAAATTGCATGTCAGCTGGTTCAGAGGTCCGCTAGGCAATCGACAATATTCAGACCCAATTTCCCAAACTTTCAAAATAAAAGCTCATCAATTCCACTTGGTTAAAGACTTGCGTCAAAAAACATTGTGCTTTGTGGAAGTTAATCTATTAAGATTTCTGCCATCATCCACAACCCAATATGGTGAAACACAAAAATGATCTGTCGGGCCTGATATTGCTGACAGAGCACTTTTAACTCACGGGCCACCAGTTGTCACCCACTGATGTTTATCCGAGGACATATAGAAGACAGGTTTATGTTTAGTTCACAGCCTGTTGAGCCCCGCCCCCTCTGACTGCAAGGCTATGTTTGCCTGTTTATTCAAATTTCATTATTATTGAACATATTGCAAATCCCATCAAATTTGGCACTGCACTTTGTTGGACCATTAAGAACACACATGTAAAGTGTGATGCAGATAAAAGGAATTGTTCATGTGAGATGTTCCACATACAGAAAAGCCTTCGTGTCATTAGGAAGTCAATAGAGATGAGTAATCCCCTGCTAATGTTTTCTCATATAGTTTCCCAGAATCACCCCACTACAGCAGCCGGCTTACAATCACTGTTACTCTAGAAATTTCAATTGTTCACATTATGAAGTTAATAGGAAGTCATCATTTTCATTTTATAGTACATGAAAGACACCATATTTAAACACCTCAAACCAGACCAACAATTTAGCTTGCTTTTAATATTGTTTATCCATAAGATTATTTTTAAAAAGGGAAACAGGCTCGAGTAACAGGATTGGCTTTTGTCAGAGCAGGAATTTATTGATTGATCCATATGTACCTGGCCACCTCAAGACTGACAGCCCTCTCCCACTCAACATGAAAACTTACAGAGGGTATTCAAAAACAAAGCAGTGTGGTTAAGTAAATTTGTATTCAATACCAACATGCTGATAAAACATTGTCTTTTATACCTTTATACACATTTTCACACACCTGAGGGGTCACTGAAAAGTCTGTTACATAATCTCTTTGAGCAACACGAGGAGTGGAACTCAGAAACTTAGTCTGGCTGCATTTACTTTTTTTTTTTTTTTACAAAAAACATGGAATAAAGTTTGAAGGCAATATATCAGAATCAATGTTGGCTGATAAATAATTAACCGTAATACAGGAAACCAAAAACATTTAAGTGTATGCTAAAGAGCAGTTACAACTGTAATCTATTTTATATTCAACAAAATAGCCATTATGAAGCTTTTTAAACTGACAAATTGTTTGTTTTGGCCTTAAATTAGTGTTGGACAAGCTCAAGAGCAGAATATGTAACAGATATTAAACCCAATACAAACTTCTACACAAACACTGATAAAACAGTGCAGACAGATTGAAAGCGTGGGTATAAACGGTATCAAACATCTGTGCATGAAAATGAAGAAACACATTTAAAAGTCCTGCCACTAGTTATGTATAAAATCTAATATATAAAGTTAAACCTTAACAAAATTATTAGCAATGTTCTGTGCTGCCATGCAAGATAAAATAGAATGAAAATTCAGTGATAAAACTGTGGTGCTTCAAATTAGCATTCATCTATATTTTCAACACCTTTTATACAGAATATCAAATACGGCAATAAAACCAATTGAGTTAAAGCCACACATCATGCTACACAACACCTAGTAGTGGCATTAACATGAAAAGCTGGTGACTCAACAATACCCAAGAAGCGAGTGTCAAATCAGTCTGTAAATGTAAAAAAATATGTTGTCAAACCCAGACACATGCACAAAATACTGCCCTGAAATGTTCCTAACATATGGCTTTATTTACTCTCCTATGAACTTGTGTTTGAGGTCCTGTAAAATATCCACAAATAAAAAATATTTGACAATCCTCATACTGTATTGCACTCAGTAATTGCATGCGTCAGTCCAAAGATGAAAGGCTGGTTGTGACAAAGTGTGGTAATCACAGAGGCCTGTAACAGGCGTCTGGCTGCCACATACGCAGATCCACCACAATCTGATTCAGCTTCTTCATCCACAGATTCCTCTCGTCCTTGGTGTCAGCACTCAGCCAGTTTCTGCAAACACAGCCAGTGGTAAGCACATGCACTGTCACGTTTAAAAACATTGTATATGAATGAGTATGTATAATTATAGGGTACTTACGTGGTGACACACATGGTATTCTTGCACTGACTGACAAGTGTCTCTTTGTCATCTTCTTTCTGTGGTCTGACTGTGATGAGCTCAAACGTGTTTGGTCTGGCACAAAACTCCCTGTTGACTGGTTCTACTCTCTTACTTGTGCAGTTAGCCAGGTTGATACGACCAATCGGATTCTGCCAGAAGAATCAGAAGAGGTCAACAGAGGGTCAAAGCAGAAACATCAGGTGTCAGGCCCTATCAGAATTTTTTGTCTCTGTATATATAATCTTTGTAATGTGTTCTTTGGCCTTATTTCTGAGGCTTAAAGAAGAAAGTGCAGTTCTCTGTACTTCTTTGTGATGAAGCGTTGCATCACTCGGAACACAGCATCAAAAAAGCGCATCATGTGGATTTTGTTTCCATGGCAACAATATATTTACAACGTCACCACTAGAATTGAACATTACCATTTGTTTGAAACTGTTTTTCCCCAATGAGCACCAATCAGATTCCAGTCTTAATCAATAAAAAACTATTCAGGTATATGCTCACACAAAGTAATCTTTATACACAACAGGCAGGCTTCACAGTGACAAGTCATTATTTGACACCTGTGATGAGGAGCTCCCTATAAAACACAAGGGTCTACCTATTGCCACTAATGTAATGTTTCTAATGTTCAGTCACTGTGAAGTCTGCCTTTTGTACATAAAGATGGTTACTCTATCTGTTAGCATATACCTGAAGGTCTTTGACCCAAATAAATTAAATATTCTGTACAGAGGAAATTATTTTATTTCATCTGTTTATACTTTTTGGTCTCAAACATGCAACACAGACAGCACTTCACAGCCTCAAACATGAAAACAAATCAGTGCACGCAGTGACCAAGATGTGGATCTTTGCCATAATCGCTGTTGTTGACAAACTAAGAGTCAAACATTTGACAGGACTCACGTAAAAATCATCAATCATTACTGTCTGGAAGCTATTGGAGACACAGTTTGGCATAAAAAGTTGTGTGGTGCAAGTCTGAATCGCTAAAAATGGAGCATTTGTAGGCTGTGAACATAAAATATTATCGATACAAAAAGGAAGAATAGCTGGATCATATTGAATTTTGAAATGAAACGGTGTGAAAATGTTTTAATAGATTATAGTAACCAAAATTATCACATTTATCAGTATTATTGTGATATCAAATGTGCTGTAAATGTTCAGACATTCCAGATACATAAGCTATAGTAATTTCACCACGTTTTATATTGACACAATATCCGTTATCAATAAAAATGATGATATTACATATATTATTTATTTCAGGTCTACAACTTGTTATGTTGTGTTATGTTAAGTGCAGACACCGACCCCAACAAAATATCAGCGTGTGTTAAACCCATGTAATTTGGCAACCGTGGATGTTAGCATTTGTTAGCTGTGGCCAGATGTTACAGTTCTCCTGCTGTTACAGCCGCCACCTGCCTGCCGCTCCTTTTGGCCATGTTTTTACAACATATAACAAATGCTGCACTTGCTGTGCCCGCATCTTGGAGACTTGCTGACATTGGTTGATGATAGACAGTGTCAACCAAATCATCACCGCACAGTGTTTCCTCTGGGATTTTTGAGTAGCGGGGGGCAGGCCGTGGTAGTCTCAGTGGTTTTAATAATAGTTTAATTTTAACTTGGAAATCATGACAGGTGGGAATTTCACTGTGGTTAATTGCGAAACCGGTAACTGGTTCACCCCTAATTGAAATCAAATGAAGAAGCACTTCACTGACAATTACCTTGCACTTTTCATCATCTGGGTAGGTCCAGTAGGAGATGTAGTATCCTGATAGGACACACCACCTCCTGTGCCAGGCTCCAAATCCACTAACATCTTCAAACATTGTCTGAGGTTTAAGAAAAGAGGGATTAACACTGATGCACAACTGGAAAGTAGCATGAGCAAACCAATGTCTAATTAATGCTCTCCATACTAACCAGGAAGCCCCTCTCCTCCACCTTTGAGCCAACTTCACACTGCATCTTGAGGTAGATGTGGCCCTCCAGGGGGCACAAGAACGGCACCTTGGATAAATAAAAAAAAAGAAAAAAGAAGCTGGATGAAAAGCTTAAACATCATTGTCACATTTCAAAAATATACTGGATAAAAGAATAAAATGCAAGATGGTTAAGACCAATGACTTAAAGCATTGCCAGCAGAGAAGACATTCGGCTTCTTGTTTACAGTTACGGTGCACTGTCATGTGACAGGTTTTTTCAGAGGTGTTGTAGCCAGAGAGGAAAAGCAATTTACATTCTCTGATGAGAACATACTTGTAAGCAAGTTGACAGTGTGCAGATAACGTGATGCAGTTCAGAATGGTCCTTATTATAGTGTACTCACACCACCCCACATACACAGAAAATAGCAGACAGAGAACAAGTAGTAACCTTGGTATGAAACATGTCACTGAGTAGTTCTCTTTCACATCCTTCATATTTGATCTAGAAGACAGATATCAGGGCAGGTGAAAGCATGCAAAGATAGAAGGTACCGTTCTATGAGAACAAATAGGGTTACTGAGAATCCCTGTAAAGCCAGCACACAGATATACTGTGTGAGCCATTTGTTGGTATCATACACACAGCATGAATAAAGGACTTTGAGACAAAGGCCAGCCATATATGAAATGCAGGTCAAAGAAAAGAACTAAGTGCTCTGATGGGTGAATGTGAAAAGACATCACAAGAATCTTAAAATGACATTAATGGATTTTATACCTTCTCCAAAGGAAATTTGATTTTTCCAATTGACGACAGAGTGAGCTTGTGTGACCCAACGAGGACGAAGTTACTGGTGCGAACAGCGTTGGGGCCTCCGGGACTTGCCAAAACTACAAAAAGAAAGGTTACAACCACACATGAAGCTTACACTAAACCATTTTACATGTCAAGGTTAGTTTTCCTGTTCTAAGGAGAAATGTGATGTCAGAATTTAAAGTCATCTCACGGAACAGTTCCAGGTGATCAGGTTATAACCAATATGGAAAATTTAGGATTGAGAAGTTACAACAATTCTCACTTTAGACTTGTCTATTGTGAGTCTCTTAACTCAACTGAAGTGCCTCATTAAAATTATTTAAAAAGCATACCATGGCTCCTGAAGATTCTTATGAAATGCATTTTACTCATTAGTACAAACATTTGTTAAGATGGGTTTTAGAAGTATTTTGACTTGCCTGGTGTCTGCACACTTTTCTGCAAAGCAAAAGATAAAAAGGGACAAATTTAGTTGGAATCACAATTCATCTTGAAATTGTTGGGCAGCAGGCGAACAGATTTAAAATCTTACCGTGATGCCGAGGAGTCTCTTTGGAGTGATAGCCTAGAAAGATAAAATTTAAAAAATTAATATATGTGGCTTTAAATGTGACAGTTGGAATGACAGTTGGATGCATCTATCTAGAAAGTTTATATTATTTTTTCACCACCTGAAGCTGTGAAGAATATACTGAACAAAAATATAAATTCAGCACTATTGTTTTTCATGTTTTCTAAGCACAGACTAATTTATCTCTGATTAATCAGTTTTTCTTTACAACAGTGCTATTAAAATGGTGTACATATTGCGTAGGTCTGCCGCAGAATCATCACAAAAAAAAAAAACCCGACAAGAAGTTGAATGTATTTAAATGTCACGATGCAACAAATGTTGATAACTGCAGTCATGGTGCTGAACATGGAATTATACACCAAAGCAGCGTCTGAAGAACTGAGCGTCCATCATTCAACCTTCTGAGGAGGCGTTTCAAAGAGTTTGGTTGCAGTGCGAACTGTCCGCATTCTCGCTAAGCACATGTCGCTTTGCCTGCACAAGATCTGTACCAAACATTTCATTGTGATATCAAACCATTCAGCCCCCCCTTCTTGTTTAACACATGTAAAATATCTTAATTGCTGTGTTTATATTTTTACTTGGTTTAAAAATTCTAATCGTTTGGCAGTGATGACATTTTGACATACAGTGCACACCCACCAATAGCCTAGTTTATGCTTCTGCGTCAAGTCGACACCGTGACGCAGTCGTTGAGCATTCGAAGTTCTGCTTCGAGGGAACGCGTTGCTCTGCAATTCACCGCCATGCCGCTAGGGGGGTGTGGCTGTGTGTTTGTGTGGTTATAGCCAAATCATCGGTTTTTCTTCCGTAAAGTGAAATACAGTAAACAATGGCGACCGAGGTGGAGCAGCTGTATTTGGAATTGGAGCTCATCAATATTGAAGAACAAATGCTTATATTGCAAATGTTGAAGCGCAAGAAAAAAAAAAAAAGCAACTGCCAGAACCTACGTCCTGAGCGGACCAATCACAGCGCTTGCGGTCAACGCGACGCGTAGTTAGGATTTTTTGGAGGTGCACGTCAGGCTACGGTGTAGGGGTCCGCGTCGATGGCGGATGCGACGCAGAAGCATAAACTAGGCTTAAGTGAGCGATCTGACACAGAAACTATTCATACCGACATACACAAATCATGTGCTTCATGAGCGCGTCTCCAGATTTTCTGCACACACACAATTTAAAAATGTTCCATCAGACTGACAATGTATCTCAGTGTGTTAAAAAAAAACAACAAAGTGGATGTACCTTTGATTTGCTGGGTTTCTTCTTCTTGTCACTGCAGACATCACGTTTCTGCACCTGAAGGTGACAGTAATTAAATAACAGTCCAATGAAGAAGCATTAATTTTGGTATCCCAAATATATTTTACATGGCAGAAATATAAAAATAAACAAACAATTCAAGCATTCAAGCACTTATGACCCAGCAAAGATGTCAACATTGAGACAAGTTGAAACAACATCTCATATATAAGGGTTTAAATGAGACACACTGTGCACTTTTTTGGGGTTTTGCCTGGAGCTAAAGTCAGTATTAAAATTACTTACTAGGCAATAGACCTGAATATCAATGACAAAGTCACTGGAGACATCAGATCTGAAAGTGACGAGGGAGAGTGGTATTTTCAGTCAATATTCAACAATCATGTTCAATATCATCATATTATGTGCAGCAGCGTAGGGTTTGATTAGAATGTGCATAAGAAAGGAGAACATCATATAAAATGTGATGAAATCTTCATCTAAGTTTCAAGTATAAACAAACACAATGTGCTTAAATTGATTAATAATGTTAATTATAATCTGTCATGTCTATATTAAACATGGCCGGAGTGTTTGACTTGCATGGTGAACTTTGTAGGGAAGGTGAGGGTGTCTCCACTGAGGCCACGATGTGTGCTGGCCAACGGAGTGGCCACATTGTTCTCGGCTCCAGCCCGAATCATGATGAAGAAGGAATGTTTGGTTGAATCTAAAATAATAAAAAGAGAGAATCATATCAATTAAGAGCAATACAATAAATACACAATAATGTTTCAATAATTTTCAGTTTGATTATTTGTTTAACAGATAGGGGGGGGCGGGTAATCTAATGTTTGAAATCAAAATATACAGACTGTATGAACAAGATTCAAATAAGAGAGGTTGGAGTGTAGTTACGTTATTTCTAATGTTAAAATCTACACCAGTCCTTTAAATCCCACATTTAAGACATGGCAAGAAGACGAAAAAGGTGATGTTATGTTAAAAGGTGATACCAATGCAACATGTTGAACTGCGTGTTTTGAATTGGTGTACCTGGCTTGTTGGCAATGGAGCAAACAAAGTCTGCCTTAAGAGGCAGACGCAATTCCTGCAGGGTGATGGAGCCTCTGGAGGCAGACATGTTGGTGGATTCTGGGGCCGCAGGAGTCTTTTTCTGCCCCGCTGCACCTCCTTTCAGACGGTCCAGCTCTGTCTTCAGCGCTTCCCTCCTCTCCACTGAGTCAAAAGGTATGAAAGTCAGCAACAAGCCAGGTGTCCTGTTTTGTGGTGCATTCATCTGTCTATCTATCTATCTATCTATATATGTATCATCTGGTCTAGATTTTCCAGGATGTATGGGAACCCTGTATATTTTACCGTGCCTACTATTCGTTGCTTTTTCATCTGTTGTGTGGATGAACTCACTTGCCACCAGCACCAGCCTCTCTGCCTCAGCCTCCACCTGGGATCCTTTTCCATGCTCCTCATCTGTGCAGCAGTTGAGTGCTTGACTGGCCTGATGAATAACTGTCTGCTGCAGGTTCATCTCATTCGTCAAAATCTACAGACACGTAAAAACATAGTGATTATCTATCACACAGAGACCAAGAGCAAAGAAGGAGGATCTATTTAAAAACATGTTTCTGAAATACTCTACAGCTAGAGAGTTATTTTTTCCCCATGCACAAAAAAATCGATCGTAACTGCATGGCATTCTTTTGAATGAAAGGTGACAGTATTTACTCCAAACCTTTATTTTCTGTTTGACACTGAAGGGAGCAGATCCTCTGGGTTCTTCTGCTCTGTGAGAAACATCCTCTTTTCTCACAATGACCTGCTTCATATGTGGTCTCTCTGTCTCCTTTACTCTGGTGGACCTGTACGCACTGATGCTAAAGCAAACAAAAACAGATTCACGTATTAAGAATCAAATGTACTGTAACAACAAGACACGGCAACTTAAATATGCATCTGAGTAATCTGTGGGAGAATTCACCTATATGGTAGTTTGTGGTCTTCATCTGGGGCCTCAACACTATCTGAGGAGCCAGGCCGTATATTAGCCCTCTGAAACTTGCTAGGTTTGGAGTCACTCTCTGGAGACTTCACAATGAATGAACTGGCCGGAGTTGACGTCTGCACAAAGACCATATTATATTGTAAACATTTGCCTTCCACAAAAAAAGCTGTGAAAAGTGACAGTAAATCTTTCATCACCATATCTGTGGCAGTCAGATGTGGTGTTGGGACTTACCATCATTTTCCTCTCTGGACTCCTCACCACGGCAGCCACAGTCTCTGCCAGTGGGGTGAGGAGGGACATGGAGGAGATATTCAAAGCGTCTTCTTCGTCGTCCTCGTCGTCCTCACTCTGATCCAGAACTCCATCAAACAGATCATTGATAACTGCAGAGTTGATGGACTGGTCCACGTTCATCTCTATCTCCGTGACCACCTCCTCATTTTCTGGTGTTTCATCAGTTGCTTTCTCTTCCGTATAACCAATCCTCAGAGGGCTGGATGTCAGTGCTGGAGGTGAGACCGCCAACACAGGACCTGCTGTTTGACAGTTTGTTACCCACTTATAAAAGGCATCTACACATATCTACACTTACACCCATTCATTCTCCAAAAGGCTGTTACATTAAAAGCTAAACATAGTAAATGAGTAACAAAAATAATTCAATTTTTTTCCCCCGCTGAAAAAGTAGAATTTCTGGATCAAGGTTTTATCAGCCTGCATTTTCAGAAAAGAGAAATGTGTACTTTTTAAAGGGTTGTGTATTTGCAACACTCAGAAATATATATATTAAAAACTGCATTTGACTGTTCACCTCTGCCACAGTGCTATGCTAGATCTGTTTTTTTCTACTTGAAGAAAGGAGATTGTGTTAGAGTCTGATGAAGCTATGAATAGCTAATAAATAAACTGAGATTATGTTGTAAAGACGAACCCTCCGGGAGAAAGATAGCTGGAGTTGTTAGCTGCAACTGAGCATTAGTTAGATTGACTCGGAGACAGAAAGTCTATGGAGCCAAATCAGGGCCAATTTTTTTATTGCTTTGAAAAATAACTGTAATTGACAGACATATTTTACTGTCATCCCTGATTCCAAAAACCTCTCAGCTGATGCAGTCCCCCCCCCATACCAGATCATGACCAAACATTTTATGAACCTGAAAAAATGGGATTTGAAACTGAAGAAAAGTAGGTTCTGCATGTGAAAATATAAAATATGCATTTTTAACTTTCAGCTTTTTATTTATTTTTCAGCTGGCACTGATTTGGCTCTATAAAAGCCTAATGAATAAGTAAAGGCTTCTGCTACATGACCATCAATATTAAAACTGTAAAATCATCAATCTGAAATATCACAAAGTACCTGCAGGAGTGCGTGTGGTGGGCGCACCTGGTGTCTTGGTAGAGATGGATGGTGTGAATTCATCCTGTGGCTCACATGGGGCCACTTCACTCTCCACTGGTGTGACAACCTGTTCCTAAGAAGCATGTTACACATTAAAAATTTGTAGTTGTATGTGATATGAAAATGAAAATGGAAAAACAGAACAACTTTGTCTTTTCTCTGTCAGATACAAGTTTTTCAGCCCACCTTAATATCTGTGTTCATCTTGGTTTCTGTTGCTTCATCTTTGTTCTTCCACATGTTGTTTCCCTTCTGGAAGCGACTGCGAATCTTAGCCAGCTCAGATTCGCGCTCCTGAAAAGTAGGGAATTTTTAAAAAATCTCTTTTTGTTTTCATGATGTTAAACATGTTTAGAACAATAAGACGATTAACCCACCATCCTCTGTTTCTGGGTGAGATCAGCAGTGGTTGTGTTTGCAGCCTGGGCAGCTTTGAGTCTCTCCTGTACCAGTCTGGTGTTTGGTGTGACTGAAGGAGTTACAGTGGGAGTCTTGGTCTGGATAGTGCCCCCTACTGGAGAACTCGGGTTGTTACGCTCCTGGCACCTCTCTCCAAAGCGCTCCAGGAAAGATTTTACAACTATAGGAAATGAAAAGCAGCATTTTTTTAAAATCACACATGCAGAGGAAGCTTATCCAAACAGCAATAATTTAATTCAATTTTATTTGTATAGTGCCAAATCACAGCATATGTAATCTGCAGGCACTTTACATGAAAAGTTCTGAATATCATCAAATGCAAGGTCTCCTATAAGTTCAAGATTTAGGATTAAAATTCTCCCTACAAACAGCATAGATCAAATCTGCCCTTGACTAATAATCTTTGGATGATTTGAACCTCACCAGGACCTCCAGCATTGGTCTTTTCCTGGGGGACAGAGGGGCCAACAATGGCAGGCTTGGCACGGAGCTCTGGCTTTTGGGGGCTGGCAGTGAGGTTGAGGCCCCTGGAAGGGACCTGACTCTTCAGGGGGCTTGAGGGCACAGATGCTGTGGAGGAGGGGCCGGCCTTCTGGGGACTGGACGGGAAGGCCATGCCGTGGTTGTAGCTCTTCTGAGGACTAGACATGGAGGTCATACCCTGGTTGGAACTCTTTTGAGGACTGGTCACTGACTGGAGTACTGGTCTGGCAGCAGGGACGTCATCTTTCTGAGGGCTTGGGGGAAACGGTCGGTTCGGCTTGACAGGAGAATACACAGCCTGCTGGGAAAAAAAAAACCTTTAACAGTCAGGTCTCTATTACATATAACAAAAAATGTTTTACATATGTAGTAGACTAACAGGATATTCAGACAGAAAACAATGGGCTGCTCTGGTTCTGGGCAGTATGAATTCAGGTATCAGTGAGACAGTGGACGACACACAAGAAAAAAAAAAGTGTTTGAAGGCTCATTAACATTGCACGCAGTGAGACTTTATACAACAATTCTATAATCAAATACTATCTCTTATTAAGGTAAACTGTAGTATAGCACATTTTATTCCAAGATTCAAGTTATCTACTTAGAATACGTGTTTGCATGTATTTGATTGTGTGTTGTCAAATGATGATATTACATTCAGGTAAATATTAAATCAGGTTCAGCTGTTTAGGTCAGAAGATCTAAGTGTAGTGTAGTGGCCCACTTGTGAACAGGATGTACCTTATACTAATCACTATACCAATTATACTTCACTGTTAATATCAAACAATTTTTCACAAGTTTTTCTCAAATCTCTACAACACATCTACTGTTAGCAAGTTTAGCATGTTCACACAATAAAAAACCCACCGAATACTGTCAATACTCAATTATTTCAATATACATACTCCGTGAGTAGGCTAAATTATATTTTACAATATTTTAGTTCTATGCAGTGCACAAAGAAAATTGACATGTTGCTTACAGCTGCGGCACTAATTACGGATGGAGGGGAAACGTCGACAAAAACAAAGACAAAAATACATTTTCTGATAAAAACAAGGACTTTCTCAGGGTCTTTATCATAAATCTGAGAGTCACATAAAGTCTTAAACATAAACAATAATGGATTGGACAATAACAGTCTAAAAGAAACAATTATCCTAAGAATGAGATGATGCCAGATCAACCCACCTGATTATAGCTGGATGTAGACTTGCTGCTTGCAGCTGAATAGCCTTTAGCTACACTTGGCTTTGGGCTTGCAGCCACTGTGGCATCTCTGACAGCTGACTTGGGAACAGCTTTGCCCGGCTTTTCTTCTGTATTCTCTTTGGTGATGTTAGCATGGCTTAGGTCATCTTCCCAGGATCCAATGGTGGCAGCGAGATTGGCCAATCTGCCTTTCCTCCCTACTGGAGTTCCTGTAGACACGGATGGGACGGCAGCTGGTTGGACCTCTGCTGGTCTCTTCAGCAGGGACAGAGGAGCACAGTCTGGAAGTGGATCAGAGGTGCCTGAAAAGTAAAAATATGCTCCATTTAGACAATGACAAATTCTAACAGATGATTGGCAAAATAGACATAATCAACTAGAATTCACCAACTTTGCGTTACTGATGCATCAAGTTAACAGCACCCAGTCCAGTGAATCACAAAAACCAATGTTTTTCTTTTCATACATTGGAGCCATTTCTTTCTTTGACACTTCATAATTGCTGGGTGCTCCAACAATGATAGCCCCACTGAATACAGACAGGTTAACTAACTCAAATTTTATTTAGATTTTTTTTTTAACTTTTATATAAGTGAACCAGAGGACAAGTCGACAATATTTCACTGAGAGAGTTTAAAAGTTAAAAGTTTAAAGGTGTTGTCTGCTGGTAGTTACAGCAAATGGTATCATGAGTGTTTTGTTATTCAGATCATATATTTTAATACTGACCACTGCATTTTACTTATTTTATCTAAGGTGAACAAATCAAACAAAATCATCTTAAGCAGCACATAAAATATTCTTACTATTGCCATCCCAACACTTTCTTTGCTCAGCTAGCCTCTGTAGACGTGACTTCATGCCAGCAGCACATGGACCTGAATCTTCCACCAGGTTCTCCTTGGAACTCTGGGGGGCCGGACTAGCAGCTACCATCTCTGTCTTTTTGTCACTCTGATTATGAGAGGCGGTGGTGACGGCCATCTTCTCTGGCTCTGGCTGTACAGTTTTCAGCTGCCCTGGCTGAGACTGAACATCAGGTCGGGTAGCAGTCCTTTCCAGGGAGGAGGATTGTCTGCAGCCTGGCATGACTGGAGGTTTCTTGTCTGTGGGAGGATCTGACACCATCTGAGCCACAGGTCGCATCATCGTCGGCTCTTGGTTCTCCTCACCAGCTGCAGGCTGGACATATTCCCCTGAACACAGGCGCTTTGAGGGAGACGGCTTGCTGGATGCCTGTGGAGCTGGAAGACATGGTGGAGAAATATGAACAAAGAACGAAAACAAAAAGGGCATGTCTCAGACCATAGAAAGACGATAAACATTGTCATACCTTTATCAGTGACTGGCTCACTGATCACACTGTTGGAGTCTGCTAATGGCTCTCTGGGCCTTTTTACTATCGGTCTGTTTGCTGCATTTGGTCTATCTGCCATTTTCTTCTGGAGGTTTTCTCTGCGAGCCCGAGTCCGCTCCAAAAGTTTCTGTTTGAACAAAAGTTTAATTGTTACTCCAAACGCAGAATTTTACTGTATCAAAAACACCAAAGGCTCAAAACTTACCAAAAAATTCACAGTCTGCACATAAACCATTAAAATACACAAATAGACTCCTTATAGAAGGACTACTGAATTGGATTGCATTAAATGTTTTCATATATCCACATATAGAGCAGAAATGTTATCAAACCATGGGGTTTCCCTCACAGTCTGCAGTGCATTCTCGCTCTTTAGGAATGCTCCCATAGCAAGTGAAATGGTAGAGTAATTCAGAGTAACTGCTCTTCTTCTGCGTATTAATAAAGTATTTCTGATTCATAAACAGCCAAATGTGAAAAGCAGTAATTTGTGAGTGCTCATGAAAATTAAATTGCTGGAGGCTGTTGTTCAAGTCCTTGAAGCAACAGTTCATCACTTTGCAAAATGTAAGCAGCTCGTAACCACTCTAATGGCTGTGTTAAAGCTGGTTTTGTACGTAATGAGCAACTTTGAGAGCAGTCATGGTTCAATGTGGAATTCTCTCACCAATATCAGTGCAAAACTAATGTCTTGAACTTTATTACCCACATACAGAGTATTAAACATTTTTATTTATTTTATTTAAGATTATTAATAAATGAATTTGCAGTGACATTGGGCTATTCACACCCGCAGAAGTTTTTTTTCATGGAAACAGGGCGGCTTCTAAATCTCGCTAATTTGGGGGCTACGCATTTAGTAGAGCCTGGCGAGAACATCAGCATTAGTACACATCCAAAATGAAGAACATTTTTATCCAGACCATAATGTGGGAAAAGTCACGGGGTATATCACATAGTTTGTCCAGTAATGCAGTTTACAATGCTGTCAATACCATCTACAGCACATGCAGCAGCGTTGAGTCAAGCAGTGTCGTCACACTTCACAATCAGCTGCTAAATACTTAATGAAATCAAGGCTGCAAATTAACAACAACCCCATTATTTTGCCTTTTACAACTATAACAAAGTGTGTATAAATATATGTATAGACACACACAAAGCAGTATCATCAGTCCCTAGAAATCTAGTAGTGTGTGTGGTGGGCAATTATTTTTGGTCCATTAAATCAAAATTCACCCATTGACACTTCAATGGCTCCTTTATCGACATCTTATACATACATACATTGGCATTAGTGTATGGATTGCATAAACAAAACTTATCCTCAAAACAGTTTGTGATCCAACAACTGCTTGTGCTTTTGGCTCATTCATAGTTAGTGACTGACTAAGACTTCTTTATGAACAGTCCTTCTCCACCAGAGATGAAAAGGCCTCTGTTTGCCTGCCCTCTTTTTTTTCCATGAGTGACATTCCCTTCGTCTGGCCTCAGACACAGCCTTTCACAGTCTGATTTACTGTGCCAGACTCTTCACTTTGCAAGCACCGACACATTCCTGCTGCTGCACTGCGCCGCCCACAAACTGACTCCAGGCACACTGTGGAAAACCTGATGTCACATTATGCTGCGTTCCTCAGGAATGAGCCACTCCTGCTTGTGGTTCCTGGATTTGAAATTTCGAACTGTACTGGCCAGGACACATGACTAACAGACAGCAATGGTTATCAGATTTCATTCCAAGGTTTAGCCCAAAGAGTCCAAGAGTTCTGCTGAGAGTTGGATGCTTCCCAGTGCTGACACATTCCAACACCATATAAGGAGACAGCCATCATTAAAATAACGTTGGCTGTCGTATGTGTTGTGGAATGGACTGATGTGTTGAATGGATATTGATTACATAAAACTACCTAAATAACCAGTCAATCAGCAGTTTGTCAACATTACTTACCAAATGTTCAAAACTACACCAACTGTCTTAAGAGGCTTGGGGCGTCTTAGTTGTCATTTTAAATAGATTTGTGGCTGCTAACGATGGACAAGACAAAGAAACAACACGTGCCACGCTTTCGTTTGCATTATTTCCAGGGATTACAATGAAATCCTGCGTGGTAGCGTTAGCGCACGTTTGAATGCTACCGAAAACAACAACGTCGTCTTCCGTCGTAAATATCACGCGTCTCATAACAAATGCACGTTACGTTATTTGTTAGCATTAGCAGGTGACATTGACGCAGCCATTTCGACTCCACCATAAGTTAGCCAGACATGTACGTGAATGGAGTAAACGCTCGAGTTAGCTCACTGACTCACCTCAGTAAAAGGATCCATTTTGGAAAGATGTATCCTGTGTCGAGCGGGAGTTCAACCTCTATGTGCGCACACAGGCCGAGCTGAAGCGACTCTCAGCTCCTCTTCCCTCGGTTCCTCTTCTCTTCTCTCGCACAAAACAACATCTGTTCAAATTTCAAATTTCAGCGCTGCGCCTACTGCGCAGACTCCGACCGTTGAGCGAGACGCTCGAGGACCAATCAGAATCGGCGAGCCAAGCTTCCCTCTCTCGTCAGCCAATCACAGCCGTGGATGTGGCGTGCGAAAGGAAGACGTCAGTTTACAACACTTCCTCCTGTCACGTGAGTGTCGTGCTGAAAACCAACAGCTTCAATGGAGGCTCAGTTGGTCAGATTATTATCTTATTATCGTATAACCCGGGATGTCGATTTACACCAGAAACAAAAAACTCGAACCCCAGGGTGTTTTAGTTTTACACCAAAAAGGAAAAAACACAGTTGTTCTTAGGATTTTGTCAAAATCAAAAGCCAAGAAACAAAAAAATACAAAATTCGTAAAACGGCCGCAGACTAGATAGTATCAAATCAAATCTAATTTTATTTGTACAGCCCAAATTCACAAAACACATTTTGCCTCAGAGGGCTTTACAATCTGTACAGGTAGTGACACCCTCTGTCCTTAGACCCTCGGTTCGAGTGAGGAAAAACTTGCCCACAAAAAAAATCCTTTTAACAGGGAAAAGAAGGTGGAAGAAACCTCAGGGAGAGCCACAGAGGAGGGATCCCTCTCCCAGGACGGAAAGACGTGCAATGGATGTCACGTGGACATCCAGCCCAAGTACAGTCTATTATAAGCTAACTGGGTGGCAAATGAACATTTATCTCAAGATGACATCATATTCTATATTCCCACCCCGATCATTGTGAAAGTGTATTCATAAATGAATTCATTATTTGACCTTCTGTCTTTCCAGGCCAGCATTCAGTTTTTAAGCCTCTGTCAGGAGCTTTTGGGGAGGAGGACACCCCAGCCTCATTTTTAATGAAAACATAAAAACATTCAAATAAAGGCAATTGAAAATATTAGTTATAAAATAATTTTACAAAGGAAATACTAATTCACATTACTTTATTATTAGATAAATGAATTAATTTGTAAACGCAATTTATTGATGTTATTTGCTACTGTATAATCAGTCATTGATAAATAAATGGCATTTTTAACCATCTCTCTGACATATGGCCTCCCCTTCTGTAATTTGAGATCCAAATACAAAACAGTAATGCATTAAGATTAAGTTTTGCTGCGTCCCTCCCAACAGGAAGTTAAAACAAATGAGTCACCAAAGAAGATATCAGATATAGAGCTGTTAAAACAGGGCATATGTATGGAATTTCAATATGTATATAGCCCTGTGCTTGTCCAGTAGTGTATAGCCTACAAAAAAATAATGGATGGGTTTCCCAAACTGGGAAATTCTTGTGTTAGAACAACAAGGTATCTGGCACATATCACACTAAACAAGAAAAAAAACAAAACAAAGAAAATATGATGATTAAAAACATACAAAAACAAAACATAATACACATATATAATATTTAAATAGATAATAATCAAAAATAATATTTATAGTTACTATGGCTTCTTCTTACACACACGGAGCAATAATTATACATGCACATGTGCAATAATATTTACACAAACAGTACATACAGTAAAAGTTGTTACTTCACTGCACCTTTGAATGTATATAGGTTTAGTTTTCTATTGTATTTGTATTGCATTAGACTTTTTTACAGTAAGCTCTTTCTACTTTCATATCAGTTAAACCATCGCAACATGGACCCTGTGTTAACTTGCATGTGACAAATACAACTGTAATGTTAACGGTTGGGCCGTTAATAGTTAGGAGGAGCAACCATCATAAAGAAAACTACAATCATGGCGTCTAATATAGCAACAATACCTGAGTGTGATCAAAAGTAGGATTAAATTGAATCCACTTGAAATATGTGTATGTCTGTGTGCATGTATCTTCGACCGTTTAACACCAGGCAAGGACTGTTTTTGTCTAAATGGTCTAAACTAAACCTTTTCTCAGAAGGACTTCATTTCCCATCAGCGTCCGTGAGTGTTGCGTAGGCAACAGCGGAACCATGGAAACAGAGCAGTCAGTGCAGGGACAGCTCAGATCTCTCGGTCGGACTGGATGAACGGTGTCAGCTCAGCCCGTCACCACTGTCATCCTTCACCAGTTCATTTCTGCGTGTCCACCACGTTGTTACGACAGACAACTCGCTTCCATCGGTGAATTCCTCTTTGGTCGTCATTATCCGGCGTATTGAGCTGGTTTAACTTTGCTAAACCACCTCATCGTTCCTCGAACAGCGCTGCCCAGGTGGAGCCTGCCAGCTTCACACAGGATGCTGGAGTCGATCAAAGTGACAGGTAATGTTTGTCTGTTTGTCAGGTAATGCTCGTTTCCTCTGACTGTAGCTGCTCTGCTTAACGGATTAACAACATGTCAGGAGCGTTGACGTTGACTGCGGAATCATATCAGTTTGGTATAATATAATAGACGATCACATCAGCTGAGAGCTGGGTGATCGGTTGCCCATCTGATCTGAGCACACAGAGAGACAGTGACGCTCCGAGTTGTACTTTCCTCAGCTCTCGTGTCATCGCCGTGCTGCTGTGCTCATTAGTGGATTCTGCCTCAGTGCTCCTGTCTGATCCGAGGCTGCTCTCAGCCTGACGATGGACCAGGCTTCCTCAGCAGAGCCCTCATGACTCTTGTGCTGTTACAACCAAGAGACACCATGAGAGGAATATTCACTGTGACAGACTTGTCATACAGACAAAACGCAAGTCAAGGATATGTAAACTTAGGTCTGTTTGAGTAAAATCACATCATTATGCTGAAAGCAAAATGGGAAGAATGACTATCAAACTCATTATAAGTTCTTGTATCAGTATCTTTATCACCTTGTTTAAGCTTGGTCCTGGAATTAATCTAATTTTATCCTGGCTTGATAAGAGGATTAGTCTATAGCTATCCATAAAAAGTCTGCACGTGAATGTGAATCTGAAGTAATCACTAGACATACACACTGTCCTCTCTTGATGGTTTCTCATGTTATTCATTTCAGAAAGACTTCACTGGCCCAAAGTAGAAATGTCCAAAAAGTACATTTTAAACTCTACTGACAGGGCACTGAGTCCAAGCCAAGTATACCTGGAGAAGATGTCATCCAGTGTCTTCAAAGACCTCTTCAGCAGTGGCTCCAGCAGCTCATGCATACGGCTGCAGACGGAGGAGGACGAGTGGGAGAGCCCAAAGCAGTCTCTGTACAAGAGGCCAAAAGCATCAGTGAAATGTGCTGCCACACTGGGTAAAAGGAACCATCCAGGCATGGGTTTTAAAAAGGTGCGTGCTCAAGAAGGTGGTGGTGGTAAACCTGCACAGACAAGTTGTGTAATCTCAGGCACCAACTCCAGTTTCTCTAAACCAACACGGAGCATCGCAGTAATGGGCAGCACTATGAGCATCAACCCTCGTACAAAACTCAGGAAGATGTGCTACCCCAATTCGCCTCGCACTAAACTTCCATCGTTGCATAAAGCAGCTTTCGTGGGGGAAGTGGAAAATGCCAAGAAAATCTGCATCCTTACAGCCATCAAGCCTTCAAATGTAGAGAAAGAGAAGGTCAAGTTTTTTACGTCTGACTTCAACTACAATCCACAGTTTGAGTACAGCAACCCCATCTCTCCGCTTCTCTTGGCACGACATAATAATGCCTCAGATCGCTTCCTGACACAGGTAAGGAGTTTCCACCAAATGTGTTTTAGAACAATTACATTTTTCTGTTTGGTTCAGTTGTATGCAAGCAGTTAAGAGCAAAACCATCTAGAGCTGGAATAGCAATCAGTAAAGCACATCCCTTCATCAAAGGCCAACAGTCCATATATATGCCTGATTTCTTTTCATCAAGATCCATGAATTATTCTCTGGGAAAATGTAAAAAAAATCAATCTCATGATGTTAAAGGTATGCCCGTTAGTCGGAATCCACTGCAATATTTAATTGGTTCTTTATTTGTCACTAAGTGTCATGGAAATCTGTTCTGTAGATTGTCTAGTCTTTATGAACTGTTGTTGGTCTTCCAATGTGACCAAGGACACATTTTGCATTTATGACGTGAAAAAGGTGTGGTTTAATGCTTGCATGGTCATCAAGACTAGAAAAGTGCTATATAACAACCATAACCAGATCACCTCCAAATGTGCTCTGATCATTTGGAGCGCCTGAGCTGTCTACCGGTCGATTGGATCACTTGCAACAGATATCAGGTCTGAACAAGGCCTTTGTTGCTTGATTGTACGACAAGTAAAATAACACGAAAGGGAAAAGTTGCCTGCTTGCACGCTGAAAATAGGAGAGTACAAGTAGTTTCTGACCAGAAGCAGTGACAGGTCATTAACCTAATCTACAACAATGCCCATCGTGCATGAGGTTGGTGCTGAGCTGAGTCAAGCTGGATACAGCGATCACAGAGACATGCTGCTGGAGCTATTGAATGACAGGGCCAATTAGAGCTGGTGGGAAGTGGCTGGGATGAATTAGTTCAGGGAACAAATGTGTAAGCCTTTGTGTCTCAAAACAACACTTAAAACATGACTTCATGTTCAGTGAACAATACCTAAGTTGTAGAAGAAACACGATACTCTCAAAACCATATTTCGTATTTTTGTACTCCGATCGCCCCACTAATGTATGGGTGTATCTTTTTTTAAATAGAAAAACATCCTGGTGGTGTTCAATTTCAGGCTCTCTCAACATTACCACTTTGTGAGCTGAACAGGAAATGTGTGAGTGAGCTGAGTAGGAGATGCAGTAAGGCAATACTGTGGAGGATGCTCGGGTTTTTCTGACTGCCCTATTTGGTCATGTTTTCTTCCTCTGTGCCGAATTCTGAAAGTGGACTGTCACTTTAACCCCATTTGTCTCATAGTATGATATTTATTGTATGTCTAATAATAATATAAATAAGTCATAGAAATGTGGAGCAGCCTCTCTGACATAAATGTATATTCTGACTGAATGTATTCAATGTGAAGCAAAAAGATCAGGTAGTTCAGCAGTGTGACTGGTGAAAGTGCTCACTGGATAAACATACAACCCTGTCTCTTCAACCTCAAGAAGTAATGTAAAGAAAGTCTGACCACCAGGTGTTACTTTATTTTCCAAATGTTTTGTTTGATACGCCTTCGTCTCTGCAAGCCATGCATCCATGTGGCAAGTGCAACTGGAGAGGGGTGACACTCTAGGTTTTTACACTGCAAACTCCCTGTTTGGGACAAACTATTGGTGTGAGCAGTTCTTTTCAAAACTGACTCTTAATACTCAGCTGCGTTCAAGACTGACACACCCAAACCTGGAAAACCAGCTTGCCAATGTGATGCCGTTCCAACCATTTCGTGGCGTGATATACACAGATCAGCTAAAAAAATGTCAGGTTGTGGCTGATCAGTGTATATATAAAATAATTAAGTATGGTCCTGATATTATGTCATTGAATTTAAGATATATGCTTTGACAAGAAAAAAGGGGGACAGGGGACACACTGCAGTGAAGTCCTCCACAGTCAGAAATTCTAGGCCTGATAAACATAATTATTTTTGCATGGCTTGATAATGGATGTTTCCAAATCCCTTTGCCAGGTTTCTATCACGAGCAAAAAGTATTTTTAGATGAAATAATGTCATTCAGCATAAAACTTTGTCAGTTATGGAGTGAGCATTTACCAGCACCATCCTAGGAGCTGTAAAGACTTTGTTCTTTTCTGAAGGAAACATGGAGAAATGTGAGCAGTTTATGGAGGAGAAATTAAGGGATGGAGACAGGAGAATGTGACATATCCAACCATAGAGGGAGGTCATTCCATGAACCAGCAGGAAAAGCCAAGGCTAGAGTTCTGAGACATTTATCAGGCACCATTTTCTCAACAGTTCTCTGAAGCTTCAGCTTCACCTGGATTCTAGCCTTTCCCACTCACTTCTTCTGGTGTCTCCTGGAACTTTGTTGGTGGAGGAAGTGATCTTCCATTGATGATGTGATACAGATGAGTCTGGTGATCGTGCATGTAAGCTGCAAGTTCATCATTAACATAAAATAAAGCAGAACACCTCAGCATACATCAGACAAATCGAGACTGGCAGGCAGCGGTTAAGCCAAACACAGACACCATCTTGAACTAAAGAAAGATAGTTTGTAAAGGTGGATTGATATGAGAGCTCCTTCAGCTGGACAAAGTACTTATCCAACAAGAAGAGAAAAGTTTATTGTAGTAATTAGCAGATCCAGACTGATTAATTGGCCAAGTTGATGAATTGACTGATATGATGTTGGTGCAGTCATTCTTGTACTGGTGTATTTTTTGGTCATATTAGAAGAAAAACTGCAGAACATAAATGCCAAACACTGGAAACAGTGTCTCCATTACATAATTAGACCATCATAGAGCACTAATAATACAGACCAGTAATGCACACTCTCAAAGATCAATATTAGTATTAGACTCAAAGATCCAGTGTTGATCAGGCTCAAACTATTATGCTCCAGGACAAGGTTAATCAGGGAATCATTGTTTTAAGAGTGATAAAAAAAATGTAACCTTATAAGAAATAGAAGCATAACAAAATAGACAGGTATTGGACCGTGACCAACTGTAATACCTTGGGAAACCTCAGTGGATGAGCCCTAAGAGATAGATTGCTATTTGTGAATATGGGCTGTACAAATAAAATTTGATTGATTGACAAGGATTTCCCAGTTAGGACTTAATTGACCTGTGAAAAATATCACAGTTTATTGTTTAATGTCTGTGACTAATTATTTCTTCTCTGTTTAACTTTGTTTTAGCTATGTTTTTGCAGTTGTCTTTAACTATTAATAGTCATACGTCGTGACGGCTTGTACATAATGAATTTCTCATCTCTTTCAGGCAGTCCACATCATGGAGCTTGCACTGCAGCGATATGGCAGCTATGAGAAGTTTGAGCAGGTCACTGGTGGTAATCTCCTTACCAAGAGTCGCATCTGGCACAATGTCAAGAAATACATGGAGAAGGAAGGCTGCATGGGGGAGGTGAGAGGGGACATGGTGTAAGCGGACGTTTCTAGAGTGTTTGCAGCACAATCTCATGTTTTTGTGGCTTAAATTTTTTTTTTGTGTGTTGTGGAGCCTGGTATTTTACTGTGGCTGGCCTCTGCAGTCTGTGTCATGGTGGATTTGTACATCATCATTACACAGCAGCAGACAAGAGGGCATCAAAGTGAATGTGCCTCAGGGAAAAGTGATACATGGCAAAAGCCGCCACACACTGAGGTCATCAGACCAGTTTGCTTTTGTGTTTATGTAACTAACAACCAATGTTACATCACCCAGTTAATAATGTTTCACTGAACACATCACATTATGGGTGCATGCGTATTTACATATACTGGTTACACAGTAACTTTGCATTTAAAACGTTTGGATTGTGGTCAACCAAGGACTGAGTCTTAGAGAACTAGATCAAACTGGGTCCCATACAGGCTTCCTGTGAGTGGGGCTTTTGTCTCATCTTTCTCTTTCCTTTGCCCTTTCCTCTCATTGTCTCCTCTCTTCTCTCTCCAAATGTGTCCTCCCATGAGCTCTGTCTTCGAACACTAGACCCTCTTCCCTCTCTCTCTGTGGAGATACAAAAACACACTACTGATATAGATGAGTTATCTTTCAGTGATATCAGTTCTGTTTTTTAGCGGTTGCCAAATTAAGTTCTCAGCAGTCTAAAAGCAGCCTTAGTGTGTTTCTTGTGGCAAGTGAGTCTCTCCTGGTCTGTGAGAGATGTACCAGTACAGTGCAGCACCCACAAGAGTGTATGCCATTAGTAACAGTCATGTAAGTGTGTAGACAAGCGTGGGTTGTTGTGGTGTAGTGGTGATTAATAGTTATGAGAGGGAAGATAAATGGTAAATGGTCTGTGTTTATGTAGCACTCTAGTCTTGATGACCATTCAAAGCACTTGTGTGAGGAGACATACAACCACAGTGCTGTAATTGTTGCTAACACAAGTGGGTGTCAGTTTAATAGACACATCTATTATTGTATATAATCCATCAATTACAATATAAGATGCTTTAACTCTGTTACCACTCACTAATGGAAACAGCTGTCGTTTAACATTCATTTGGTGTAACCTGGGTTCTAATTGAAATAGTTCTCAAATGTGGATGTTCTATCTCTGCTGTGTTGACAGATAGTTGTCCAGGTGACAGATGACCTCCTGTCCAGAGCCTCCATGACAGTCATGAACAGCAGACCCACACTTACCATCAACATCTCCACTGCGCGAGAGCACTGGCTGGAGGGCATGCTGAGGCATGAGATTGGTGGGTAAAATAGTTTAAAAAAAAATAGAAATTTGATTTTGTTCTTTTTTATTTATCCATTTAGGGAACCAGCTAAATGGAAAATCATTTAAATTTGACTGTAATGCAGTTTATCAAAGGATAACCTCCCTAATCACAGGTATGATTGGGGCCATCCAGTCTTGATATATTGATCATCTAAATCAGCAGATCATGGCAAAGATCTAATTGATATTGCAACTAATAAAGTTGGCTCGAATTTGAACTTGAATACAATTGTATAAATTATCCTTATCCTGTTCCATCAGGGACACATTATTTCCGTGGAATTAACAACTGCCACCAGCCGTGGAGCAGCAGTGTGGGACGGAAAAAGCACAACCTGAAGCCCCTAAATCCGACAGAGGAGGGTCTTGCCAGCATCCACAGTGTGCTGTTTAGGAAAGACCCCACTCTGTGGCGTGCTGCCCTTCTCTACTACACTGTCTACCAGGCCAGCCACATGTCCTTCTCTCAGCTCTTCCACAACCTGGGACGCTTCGTCCAGGACCCCAACACCCGTTGGGACTACTGTGTCAGGGCCAAGAGAGGCCAGACCGATACAGCACAGCCAGGTTACTCTGTCAATGAACAGGAACTGAGATTCATGCAGCCAATGTTGGGCTTGATTACGTATCTAATTTAGAGTCATACATCGTAACACTTCTTCTCTTAATGTTCGCATGTGACATATTTAAAACAACCTTTAAAAGATTAATATGAACCTTTTAAAATGTACATTTGTCAAAGTTTAATTGGTCATCTTCACACCTTATTAATTTCTCACATTGCAGGGTGCTTCAGTAAAGACCAGGTCTACCTTGATGGCATCCTGAAGATTCTGAGATACAGAGACAAGATCAACTTCCCACTACTGATGGCTCTAGGAAAGGTGAGGAATCTCAACTATCTCTGTTATTGATTGTGGTTGATCAGACTTACACCAGGTGGATGCTGCTCCTCGCCAAGTTTTTCTTTTTTCTTCAACCACAGTCACTGGATGAATTCAAATGTCCACCCTCCATATTTGTGGAGTGAATCTTTGCAGACTTCTGTTACCCCTTTTCCTTCAAAGTGAATTGAGTTCCGGTGCTGGGCTGGTGCTGGTTCAACTTGCGAATCAATTTGTTTTTCCATGGGCTAGAGCCGCGTTAGAGCCATGTTAGTGTGTCACATGAACATCGCTGTCTACGTCTCTACACCTCAACTGTATAAACACACCAACAAACTGGCACTTATTACATATTATATTAAAAAACATGAATCCATTAATTCAGCCCAACCTTATTCCCCTAGCTCTCTTGCTTGTGCTGACACACAGACAAACACTGACTCAGCTGACGTCTCACAACATTGATTTGTTTGAAATTGAAACACTCAGTTCCTTTAATTAGTAATGAGTTGGTGCCAGCCTGTAACCAGTTTTTCTGGCCAAGAGCCAGTTCTTTGGCCATCGAAACACTGGTTCCAGATTTGGCTCCAAATTGTCCCTGTAACTACCTTGGCAGAACCCACAGTTCATGATCATAAGTACAAGTTAGAGTTTAGATTTGCTGGTACATCAGAAATCCGATTCATTTCCTTCTTCACCATGACAATCTGCAACATTAGCATAACTGTTGATATTACACTATCTGACCCTTTGTCCTGAGCAAGATCAATCAACTTTGCACACAACAACCTACACAGTGGTAATTAATAGTGTACTTGTTCCTCTGATACCTTCCAAAGCAGTTCAGATGCATAGTGAAATAAAAAGAAAGCAGGGTTTATTGGAGCTTACCCAGCCTCTCTCAAGAGGAGTAAGAAAATGTCCTTCTGCTTCAGAAGAGCTGAATCCACTGATGATAATAAAACTATGTTATAGCTATGGATGTTGAACATGAATAACTGCATGTTTGTTATAAAATCAGTCTAGTTAAATAGTTCTCAACTAATATTTACAATATTCAAAAATTTGGAGTCTGATTTGTTTTGTGAATCCATAAAGAAGGTTGAATCCATTGCCATTGTTTTTCTGTGGGCTCAGGTGTCATTTGAAGATGTGGACCGCCTGAAAGCCGTGGCTCAGATGGAGAAGATTCGCATCCCTCACTTCATGCAGGACCAGGCGAGGTATACCGAGCAACTGACCAAAATCATGATGGTCAACCAGCTGACTGACGAGGAGCTCAAGACCATCATCTGAGCCTGCTTCATTTTGCCTGCACAATCCTGATCAGGCCTGAATAAAAGCTGTCAAGCTACTGTCAGCTGTCACCTGCATGCCCCTAAAACCACCAGTCATCCATGTAGATGGTTTGTATACCACTCAAAGCACTTTACGGTACAGTTTGCCACTCACCCATTCACGCACACATTCATACAGTGCATCTATTAGCAGCACTTTTTGTTCTATGAAGGACAATTTGGGGTTCAGCACTTTGCCCAAGGGGAAGACTGGGATCGGACTGCCGACCTTCGGTTGGAGGATGAATGCTCTACCCCTTAGCCACAGCCACCCATGTGCATGGTTCTAGATGCTGTATTGCATGCAGTACAGACTTGTGTTATATTTTCTCATAATTAAACATTGGTTTTTGCCTAATAATACTTCCACTGATGCAGTAGATCACCCTAGAATCATTACAGTGAGTTGTGTTTAGGGCTGAATAAAATTCAGAAATGTGAACATTTTATATATTACATTGCCAATACAATACATTTCCATTCTTAAGTTTCTTGCGCTTTCTTGGCCCAACTATACCAATACAGATACCAATAAGGGCTGTCACTCTTTAGTTTTCCAAATTCAAACCGCCTTTCAAACGTGGTAAATAACACAACAGCCCATGTTTTGTTCTAGTTTGAGGGCCAACGGTTTCACAGGCACAACATACATGCACTATCAAAGTGCTCCTGGAGCAGCCCCTAAATCAAACAACAGAGATGCTTACAAAAGGAGTGTGGCTCTTCTCTGCTCAGGTTACCATTATTCCATAACATCTTTCAAGAGAATATAGTTATATACGTTGTTCTTTAAAATTTTGTAACCTTTAACACCATAGATAAAAAAAATATAGCTGCCTTACAGTAATGCTGCCTGAGTACAGTGAATACAGTGAGGTAGCTGAGGCGCTGTTAACATAAAAATGTTATTTTTGTTATAGTTTCTGGTTTAAAAGGCAGTTACATTTGAATTAACTGAAGAAAACAGATGCTAATTGTTCCAATTCCAAGTTTAAAGAAGTAACAGCCCTATAATACAAATGTGTCTGTGTGTATCTATGATAAGCTAAGAGGACTTAGTGACAATGTATCAGTGCTGTTATGTTAATACTGTCCCCAAGCATTTTAACCTGACAGTGAAATTCCTAAATACCTGAATGCTTCAATGTTTGTGAACTCTTGTTCGTGAATATGGTTAAATGTGACATATGAAACATCCATGAGATTTAGCAAAGCTTTCCCTAACACTAAGATATGGATTATGTGTCTCTCCTGCAAGTGTACTTACCTACAGTAGTGTTCTGTATCTGTCTCTGGGGTGAAGGTGAACACTTTCTTGCACTTAGTTCTCTGTCGTAGTGTGTGTAGTGTTGGGATTTTAAACGGACACTTGTTGCTCGAGAGAAGTATGGTGGACGCAGGATGGTGCAGCACTGTCACATAGAGGATTGTGAATTCCTGTCGAGCACCGTTCTGGTGAAACTGTTAGTGAAGTTTTGAAGGTGTGTTCAGTGAAGCCCTAGTTGTCTAATTGCACTGACTTGAAGCCCTGTTAGACTATTTGCACTTTCTTACCTTGGATCTACTTCGTCAACTGCACTGATATATGCAGCTACAGACTGATCTGTTGGATGCCTTGTGTATTTACTGTAAAACCTGATGAGCTTTTATGTTGCTTATACCAAGGATGACCTGATGCAAGGAGCATGTTTAACTCTCAAAGACCTCTTATATGGTACAGTTTAATAACATGGCATTTCTATGAGATGTTTTCTATTTGAAGGATTTTTTGTGATATGAGTAGAATCTATAAATAAAATGGTTCCCCTGCATAACCCACACCCCGCCCCTCGAGTTTTTGTGTGCTTTGCATCTCCCAATGTGTTCCTTTCAATTTGCACATCTGATAGTTAAAAGTTACCAGATAGTTTGCTCATTGGAAGCCATTGTGATTCCATGCATGTTTGCATCAAGGAATTTCCAGCGTCGTCATTAGAAAAAGGAGAAAATAACAATAAGCAACAATGTACATCAGATGAGAAATATATACAACCCATTCCAAACTCAAATCAAAAACCAAAATAAGAGATCTCAACCAAATACATGAGTAGCTTTCTGACAGAGAAAGACAGATGGAAAAGAAGAAATGACAGAAGTAGAAACTTGATAATCAATAGATGGTATTAAGTTAACCTGAGACGATAAAGCACATTGAAGCACAGCAGGTGTTCACAGGCCACAGCAGTAAAAGTACCAATACAAGTGTGTAAAAATGACAAACGAGTAGTTGTATTTCAATCTGTGAAGGTGCTGAGGTAAATATCACCAAAATATCTTTCAAGTTATCAATAGTACTTTGAAGTAAATTTGCTCCTGTGACTGATGCACTGTTTTAATGATATAACATTAACTGGATTGTTCATACATGCATCAACACCCTAACAGCATTATACTGGTGTATCTGCTTGAAGTGACTCTTAACCACATCATATACAGTTTGATAGTATAGTCCTCCAGAAGGCCACGTGAATCTGCCACATGAATCGGCCACATGAATCGGCGGGGTTGTGAGAGAGATGATTGATGCGAGCAGAAAGAAGATAACACAAAGTTTTGTTCAACAAATCTGGTTAATAATCAGTCTTTTTGTGAATTACTGGACATGAACCTCTTTGAGCAGTAACAGTATTTAAATGTATTACACTGAAGATCAGCTAAAATGAAAATACTCAAGTAAATACCTCAAAATTTCAACTGAAGTAGTACTCCTTCAAATCCATTTCAATCAGCAGTGAAACCAGGATATGGATTTCATGGCCACAGGATGAATAACAGTAGATACAATCAGACATTTTCTACAGACTTTCAAATGTTCCTTTGTCTTGTGCAATCTTTATTATTCATCCCATGTATTTTGAGGAGAATGTTACGTGCAAAGAGACCTTGCTTGATTTCAGTGATGAATGAAAGAAATTGGGAATCATTGCCCATATGCAAAGGAAGAATTTCCAGGTGTCTTTCAGTTCCTGGGTATAATGTTGTGTCCAGTCATTGTGGCCATCTGGGCATTTGACTTGATCAGAGTTGATCCCATTCATGTTCTTCGAACACTAAGCCAAAATCTGCCTCACAAGGGAATGCAAAAATTGTATTTCCCTATAGTCAAACAGTTCATTTAAAGCTGCATTGATATATTGTTTCCCAATGACCTTAAACAAGCTGCAGAACATATCATTTTTGGTGGGTTTGTCACTATGAATGACATCTATATCCACCCTTGGAATAATATCTGTACTATATAACTAGAATACAACCAGTCTTACTGGTTTGGTTATTTTAACAGTAGAAACCTAGTTCCAGTCCAAAGTTTTTTTTTTATCTATCTAGTGTTGGCATAGACTTCAGATGCTCAGGTTTACGTTGTTAGAATTCTAAATGGATTTAAAAATGGCTCTGCTTGCCAATATGGTTGAGCCACAGTTCATAATGAGTACAATGCTAAGGCTAAATATGTGGAGCCCTTCTCAGTGATCAACCGCAGGAAACTATAGTGTGTCACAACACATTGCTGGCTTCTTCAAACCCTGTCCGGAGGTGTCACACTTCCTATTCACTAGTGTCTGGTTTCACTGGGAAACTGGAAACCACTGAGTGCCAGAGTGGTGACTGATTACTCCAAGCAGTGACATGCCGGACAAAGGGTATTGGTCTACACATCAGGCCTCACTCTCTCACCTCCTCACACTTGTACCTGGAGTGATGAATAATGTGCACAGAATAATGTGCACAGAATAATGAAATGCAGATTACTTGGCTGTTGTGAAATGGCTCCACATCTCCCTATTGGACAGTGTATTTCTGGCTCAAAGAAACAGGGGAAAAAAATCATTTTTAGAAAACCACCTTTGAAGATTTGAGTTGCGTTTTAAATGAACCCACTGAACCAAACCTGCAGGTGTTTTTACCGTGGAGACACAAACAGGTCCTGATCAAACCCTAACTCTTCATGCTGTGAGGCAGCAGTGACAATCACTGCACCACTGTACTAATTCTGTCTTCTCATGTTCACCTTACTGGTCCACCCTGTCTGGATCACAGAGAGGGAAACATTACTCAGACAAATAGAAAAATAGTGTTAGAACACCTCTTTCACAGTATTCTTTACATTCAAACAATAAACATTAATAGTAACAGTTATGTAACCATCATGTTTCAGCTCTGTCAGACTGGTTGTCATAACGAGAATAATGAGAGTGATGTAATGATGTTATTAATGATAGCAGCACCAGATAACAACAACAACAATAATAATAATAACGCAAATAAAAATGATGATGATGATGATGATAAATTATAAAAATATTAATAACATTTAGAATAATAATTTGTTGTTCATCTGGACCCTGCTCTGGAGAGCCAATGTAGAGAAGGATATTGGATTCTATTCTGAATTTTACAGGGAGCTAATGTAGAGAAGCTAAGACCGGAGCAATATGATCTCTCCTTCTAGTTCCTGTCAGCACTCGTGCTGCAGCATTTTGGACCAACTGGAGGCCTTTCACAGACTCACATACTGATAATAAAGAATTACAATATTGTAATCTAGAGGTAACAACTGCATGGACCCGTTTATCAGCATCCTTCTGAGACAGGATGTTTCTCAGAAATGTATTTTACCAATAAAAAAATGGGGACATCACCGTCCTCATAATCTATCTGTTGTCTAATGTGTAGTTACAGGCATGTTTCCTGCACTTATTTTCATGTGACAATCAGACACCTAGTTTTGTTCATGCCATATTCACACTACAACACACGACTGACATAGATTCGGTAGGTTGTGAGAGTTAAGTTATTGTATTAGGAGGATGTCCTGACAGCAGGGGGGAGATAATAAGGCAGGTTTTCATTTGATGTTTTTTGTAGAGGAGGAAGTGAAACAAGTCAGAGGTGTATCACTGGAAGATGTACACCGACCATCATGCACTGCAGTAAATGTTATGTGGAGAGAGAGGCCCTGCACATGACAGGAATGGAGGACATGGCTTCAGGGAGCACAGAGGGTTGGCAGGTTGTTGAGCCGCAGGACGATTTATTTATCAGTGTTCTGATTGAACGCCGTAACTCTACGGGACCCCGCACAGGAGATGGCGCTGTGAGCGTTTAAACTTGTTTCAAGATTCGCCAGCAAACTCATAGAAGAAGAAGGTGACGTCACGGATCAGGAACAGCACAGTATCAACGGCAGAAAGGAAACAGTCCGGCTCTGTGTTCATCAGAAGCAGAACATCCAGCAAGTATTGCGTTGTCTTTTTAATTAAGGTATGCTGTCCATTGACTGTGTCTCTGAATAGAGGAGGATCGAGCGTGACTGTTTCAGAACAGCCGGTTCACCACAGGCAACAGAAACAGAACGAGCTAACGTCAGTTAGCTTCAAAGCTAACAGCTGTGCAGATCGTTTCTGCTCTCCCTCCCGTAACTTTCTGTAGCTAAACACAGCGGGATCGTGGAACACAATTCATGCGTGGAACCGACACGTGTATACGAACCTTGTGATCTCACCGGGTTTGAACAGATGTCACTCGTCTGACGCGATCCTTGAGCTTAAATGACCCGACTAGGCTAGCTTGTTAGCTAGCTAGCAGATGTTACTGAGAGACCGAGTCACGGATATCTATGTAGGTCGATCTCTACGGTCAATAAAACAATGAAGTCATTATTGTTTTGTAACCGTAAGAAGAGTGTGATCCACAGCAAGAGTGACTAAGCAAATATGTGACCAGCTTAGTGTGTTAACCAAACGTTAATGGAAAACACTGTGTCAGGGTGATAGTTTACTCCAGCTGTTCTGATGCTCTATGGTCAGTTCTGGTCCCACACGATCACTGCCATTGCTTTGTCTCCTGTCTGCCTCCAGCAGAGATGACAGTTGTTAAGTAACACATGTGAGTGGTTTCTAATAAAAATGTTGTTTCTCTGTCTGCAGAGGAAATTCCACTCCAGAGGCGTGACTCATTTTAGCAGACATGTCTTACGGCAAAGCAGAGAACTACCGCTCTGTCCCGCAGGACTTCAACACCATCATACAGACATGCAGCTCCAACATCCAGAAGATCACACAGAACAGTAAGTGTCCCTCTGCTGAAGCGCCCACTCACTAACCAGCTCTGGGGATGTTGGAAAAAATCTGCATCAGCCTGCTGTGCTGAACCAGACTTTGAGTGGAGGGTCACTCATTATTTATAAGAATATGGTGCATCAGACTGTCCCTCAACCAGGTCACAAAGATGCACAAGGTGACATCGCATTAATAAAAAGAAAAAAAGGCTTTTTTGGTGGTGCCACTCTAAAACTGTAAAGCTGAACATTTGTTAGTCTCTGTATGCTCTGTGATAGACTGGTGTTAGTTTTCCCCATTCCCCATGCTGAAGTGTCCTTGAGCAAGATACTGAACCCCAAATTGCCTCTCCTCATAGAGAAAGGTGCTGCTCATAGATTCACTGTGTGAGTGGGTTCTGTAAAGTGCTTTGAGTGGTCATCCAAACTAGAAAAGCGTTATATAAATACAGACCTCAGACCTTTACCCTGCTTTTTTCCTAATGTCAGCTGAGATTGGCTCCAGCTCGCCACGACCCTCAAAAGGATTAGCGGCTCAGCTGATGAATGATTTATGTATTCAATAAATATGTCAAGACATTCAGTTGTCTGTTCTACTGTAGTGTGTTCATTCTCAATCTGCAAGTCTGGGGATGGACATGTGACTGCAATTACATGTGACACTGGAACAATAAAACTGAAGACCCGCTGAACTGTTAAAGTCCAGGATTTCACTCTGTATTTCATTAGATAAAATGTTTTCAGTGTTACATGATAGCTTCACATATTTCAAGTCTATTATAATATGCCACTTACATGTCCATATGTAGGTTTAAAGTGTGAGTACAGATGACCGTAAGTTTTGTTCCTGTCCACAACAGATCAGGACCCTGCACCACTCAATATTAAGATGAGGAAAAAAAGAGGGAACAGAACATCTGGATGAAAATAAAAAATGACATTTGGTTGAATATCTGTTATTTGTCATAAGTTCATCAAAAGTATGACTCATAGTTGTCTTTATCATTTATGAAGCTTCTCCAGTCTTTTACTGCTGCCTCTTTAACTTCATGTTTGTTTCAGGTGGTTTACTTCAATTTCCTCTTTAAGAGGAGCATTTAAAATGGGATAAGGATCTGCTCAATGACTTGATCAGTCTTAAACCTTCCAAGAGTAATTGTTTTGTTTCTGCAGACGTCTGAGTTTATTCTGATGCTGCCAATAGAGTTCAGCCATTAAAGATGATTGAACCTGTTCTAAAAGCAGTCATGACACCAACACAGAGCTTGATGTTCTGGATTCTGAGCAGATCCTTTCTACAGATGATCTCTGTCCTTCAAGGAGTCCAATCTGCTGATGAGTTGTTTTTGGCCGATGAGTATATTTCTGCTCGCCATCCAATAAAGTGTTTTTTACACACGTTCACTCACTGATGATGGAGCATTAGGAGCAACGAACACTGAACTCTACTTCAGGACAAATAGTTATAATGTCTGTATACAGTGTTTCAGTCTCACAGTGTCTCTGCTCTTCTCCCAGACATCTCTCTGTTGGTTTGTCCTTTTTAACAGCACAGTCGTCACAGGTGAAAAGCAAAACTATAAACAAGAGCAGACACTCAGAGCTATTTAATGTTTGAACAAGGAGTGTAAAGGGCTCAGTCAGTCACATGTTCCAATAGTATTGCTCACTTGAGAAATGGCTGGGTTCAAACAAAAGGTTGTTTGTCCTGAGTTGTTGACAAGCTGACATTTTAAACTCTTTAGATTTCAAATTCATCTTTTGATCTTATATCCAAAAGATCTCCATACAGTCCCTTCGATAAGTATTGGAGCAGTGTGCTCTGTATTGAGAAAGGCCATGGATTCAATTCTTCTGTCTGACTATGTAGTTCACTATTACTGTGCCCTACAAATAAACATGACCTGAATATGGCTCACGACAAAGAGTGGGTTGTCCTTTAATCAGAAGGTTGTGGTTCTCTAGGAGTTGTACATGTGTAACTGGGCTTGCTTGAGTTTCTTGAAGACACGTCAAGAGGCTTCTTTGGTTTTTTTTAATCAGTTGCCTACATACAATTCCTGGAAAACTACTATGACTTGAATGACTGAAAATCTTGACAGACAAAGTCAGTGGTTCAGTCACTGCCCAAATTGCACCTGATGCTTTCAGTGTGTGGCTTTTGTTTATAAGGAGCGCGGTTCGAAGAAGGAATGTGACTTCTGATGGTGAGAGTAGAAAAGTGCTTTACTGATGAAGTCTGTTTACTTGACATCATGTACATGCACATATGTTTTTCCATCACAACACTGAAACTTATTACTGTGTTTTTTCTCTCTTGACAGCTGCTCAGATCAAAACCATGGTGAACCAGCTGGGGACCAGACAGGACACCAGTGAACTCCAGGATCGTCTGTACGTATCAAATCATTGACTCCCTCTCTCCTGCCAAACGCGCACACACACACACACACACACACACACACACACACACNCACACACACACACACACACACACACGCACTAAGACATACTGTCACCTCTGGATAGTCCCTCAGCTGTCCAACAGGAAATGTGTGTGCACACGTCATTGTCATCTCTACAGAGTAAGCACGACAAAGTGGTTATAGGCTTTCACTTAAATTACACCTGCACTACAACACCATTGTGACATTGTGTACTTCATTGTGAAGAGTAATGGATAGTCTGTAGAAACTCAGATTGACTAGTAGGGTTTAAATCTAAAATGCTTGTATCTCCACAGGCAGCAAATACAACACTACACTAACCAATTGGCAAAAGAAACCAACAAGCACCTGAAAGATTTGGGATCAATCCCTTTGCCCTTGTCACCTTCAGAGCAGGTAAGTGTCGCTCTTCATTTGTCACTCGCATAAGGAGAAAAAAATAAGTATTGGACTCAAGTTCAAAATTCTACTCTGCAATCAGATTTATATTAAAAATAGATGACAATATGAACAAAACTCAAATTTTACAATTCAAATACAACTACACCAACCTCCACAGCTCACCGGCCTTTGTATTGTAACAGCAAATAAGTAGATGCCACTTAAACGTGCTAAGAGCAAAGTCCTGGTGTGGTTCTGACTAACAGCCTGTAAACTGCAATCAAAGTCCCTCTTCACTCATCAGCAGCCACAGGAAGATACACTGTTAATATAAATATAAAGTGTTAATATAAACACATTAAGTATATATTCAGTTTATTAGTAAGAGCCCAAATACAGTTCTTACTTTTTCTTTTTTTAATCTAAGTTTCGATTCTGAAATGAACTGTGAGATTTCCACCTCTAACCTCTTGCATGTAATTCTGATGAATGCTCAGGTCCAACAATAAACCTTGTACACTTAACATCTGTCAGATTATATAACCATTGTGTTATCATTCTGTTTCACTTATTTATTATGCCTCCGAGCCAGCGACAGCCCCTGGCCAAAGGCATTAGGTGTTTGGGTCGTCCATTCATCCCATTCTTGTGAACACAATATATCTCAAGAATGCCTTGAGGGAATTTCTTCAAATTAGGAACAAATATTCACTTGGACCCAGGGATTACCTGGATTACCTCAAAAGTCAAGGTCACATTGACCCCTTAAACATGATAACTCTGCCTTCTGGGAATTTCTCCACATTTTGATTAGTTGTCACTTGAATGCAAAGATTAATTCAAGGTTTTCAGTGGACAAAGATCACAGCAATCTCATATCCATCTGAATTTTGTTTATTTAGACTGAATAATAAAAATAAAACCTACCCTAACTACAATAATTTAACACTAAATAACCGTTTCAGTGTGTAAAACATTAATATACTGCTAGAGTCTGGGATGCCACACTGCTGGCTGATCAGTCAAACGCATCAATGCATCCCATGTGCTGCCAGGTGTCTCTTAAGTTTGTTGTGTTCCGCCTTTCTTCTCTCAGTTTATTGGTGGATTGCAAACAACGTGCACACCGCCACCAACTCTACAAGCTGTTGCTCCCAGTAAATACTGCCCCTGTAGGAATTGGTTCAAATTGGCACCAGATTTCAGTACCCAGCCCTGTAGCAGTTATAACAGACTTAGATATATGAAGCCATAGATTCTTGCTTAAAGTACATTTCAATTGAAACTGCTTGATACGTTTCATAATCAAGGTCACAGGACGTTTTTTATCAAAAAATACAAATATGTCAGCATTTTTTATTATTACTCTGATAGTCTGATCTCTGAGATCCTCCTTGTCTTCTGGTCTCATACTGAATGTGTCCCTCTACTCTGTGATGTCCAGAGGCAACAAAAGATCCAGAGGGACCGGCTGATGAATGATTTCTCAGCTGCTCTCAACAACTTCCAAGCAATCCAGCGGCGTGCAGCAGACAGGGAAAAGGAGTCCGTAGCCAGAGCGAGGGCTGGATCCCGTCTGTCAGTAAGTAAGACTCAGTGGTGGCAGATGAAGAATTGCCCTAACTGCATTCATGACAGGAGTGAAGAAATACCAGATTCTAGTGAGCCATGTCTTCATGATCTGTGTTTTACTCAATGTACTTTGCCATGAATGGCTTTTCTCTTCTCTCTCAGGCTGAGGACACTTCTCGAGATGAAAAGCTGGTGTCTTTTGATAAGTAAGTAACTTGGCTTTCAGTCAGAGTTTCATTGTCAGGCAGTTTGAGGGAAATGGAACTTTGCTAGGTGATTCACAGACGCCCAAGTTGTTAAGATTAAACCTGAATAGCACCTAGAAGAGTCCATACATCAGTCTTTAGTTTCATGGTAACCCTTCCAGTAGTTCACTGCTGGCTAACAGACAAACAAACACATGCAGAAATGAAAACACCCTTCTGGGTGGTGATTATATATTAATAATATCCATCTTAAAACAGAGAAACCTAGCATCTGTCAGTGTATCCCATTAAGTATCTAGACTGTGGTGACCGCCATATTCGAATTATCTAATTTGTCCGGCCATATTCAACCCAAAAAATCCACACTTCCCACTATTTGTAGCACCATATGGCGCGTTGCCGCTCTTGCTGCCTCATGTCTGCACTACTGTCCATAAAATGTTCATCATCCAAGCAGATGGTCGGACCTCATAGTTTCCACTGCAGTTGTGGCAGGCACTGCAGTTCTGTCTCTTACGTGAGAACATGTCCATCACTCTGTGTTCCTGTCACTCTGAATCTGTTGCGTGTGTCTGACCTTTGACCATAGATTACTGCCATAGATTAAATTAATTCAGTTGTGAACGCTTATCTCTTCAAAAGAAATGTATGACCATACTTTGCAGTTTGTGTTGGCTGGTCTCTGCTGCCTCCTGCTGGGTTACACTGAAATACAATATAATTCTTCACTTAGTTTCTGTGATGTGGGTTCAGTTAAATGTGGCTTGGAAAATTCATGTCAAAACAAATGTTTTTCACCGCAAACATGACTCATACATGTACACAAGAAAACAAGACTGAAAGCAAAGTACAACAGTAAGAACGATCGGCTTTAGCATATGGAGAAAATGTTTGTGTCTGTTTTCACACATATTATTATTAACACGATTTTAAATTGTTTGTAATAAGCCAAGAGGACTGGGGTCAGATGACAACACAGACAGAGGAGGCGGCCATCACAGAGGAGGATCTGGAGCTCATCAAGGAGAGGGAAACCAACATCAGACAGCTGGAGGTCTGTTTGCTTACTATTTCTAAAATTAATCAGGACACAGTGGAACACAATCATGGCTACAGGCTGATACAACTGCCTCAACTGATTGTAGCTTTTTGTCTGTTTCAGTCTGACATCATGGACGTAAACCAGATCTTCAAGGACTTGGCAGTGATGATTCATGATCAGGGAGAAATGATTGGTGAGTAGCGCAGTCGTTGTTACTGTCAGGGCTCCGTGGATCTTAAAGTTCAAAATGTATCACCAGGAGACAATGCATATCAAAACAGCTGCTTGTGCTCTGTTTGTGATTCAAAACCAGACACTGCTTCTCCAACTGGACTGGGGTTTATCTGGTCTTTACTGAATTTCTTTTAGTTGATGGCGTATGTCTGTGTAAATTCCAAACCAGAACTTTCCATAGACCTCTGACACAGGATTTTGTCAAGACGCAGGCCAGGGGGAAGGATACAATAACATCTGTAACTTTAAAAGTGCACAGGAGCAGGGAAGGCTCCACTGGTTCTCTTCCTGCATCTGGTCATCCTGCCATAATGTGTTATTGGGAACTAGATGTGCAGACTAATAACCAAGAAGAAGAAGGGGAGGAACTTGACCAAGAAAACTTTAGGCTCTCAGTGCTGCTATAGGTGAAGGTTCTGAGAACCTATGTAAGTGTAATATTTCAGTTTGTAACTTGTAAACCACTGAGGAGTATTGAATCTGGATGAGAAATAACAAATTAACTGGATACATTTTGTAATGAAACTAAAAAAAGACCAAAGAGTCTTGACATTTTTCTGTATCAATTATATACATATAACAATATGACCATATAAAGAGAGTATAGTGTTTGTGTGTGTGTGCTTAATTGTACAGATCTTTCACAGTTCAAGTTTAATGTAGTTTCTCCTCTAGTCTAAGGAAACTAAAACAACATTTTATGATCTCGATTGTTGTTCAAACAAACCAACAGTGACTGCTTGGAGGAGACAGGATGTGAAGAACAGCCCTCCTGTCAAAGTTTGCATACAAAACTGCTTCACCATATTTTAGCCTTAGCTTTTTACAGATATTATCCAAACTTTATTGTATCTTAAGCCATTTTCAGTCATGGCCTGCGCAGGCACTCTGGAGAATTGGGTCCGAACTTGCCTTACACACATGCACAACCCAGATGCATCACAACAGCAACAAATCTGCAGGATTCAGATGAGTGTGGTGTAGCAGGCAGAACATAATGTGTTAATTCCGCTGCAGAGATCACTTGGTTAATTTCTCAGCACATCGACTACCCCAGTGGTTCTTATCACCACAAACTCCCTTTACTTCTTTGTCTGTGTCCTCTGCGGGTACGCCACCATTTCTTAGTGTTTTTCCGTTAGAAACCTCACCAAAAATACGCACTTGCTCTTGGTTAATCCCGCGGTGGATCTCCTGCTGTGTTCTCACATCAGTACCTGCTGACTTTATACAAGGGGGCCAGTTAGAGAAAGTCTGCAGAACCTTTCTCTAACTGGCCCCGAAAGGAAAAGTGGAACACAACAGACTTAATGAGACACCTGGCAGCACATGGGATGCATTCTAAAACAGAGAGATGCACCGTGTTTGACTGATCAGCCAGCAGTGAGGAATCCCTGACTCTAGCAGCGGGGAGACAATTGATGACATGTTTGGAGCGGGACTATATTAAACGTATTACACACTGAAATGGTTATTTAGTGTAAAGTATTGTAGTTAGGCTCTCATTCGGACATTTGCATTCTCACATATCTCCTCTGGAGTTCAGTGCTTGTCTGAAAGCAGCTCTATGTACAGTAGCTCTCAGCTCACCTTTCTCTATGTCCTGCCCTGCAGATAGCATTGAGGCGAACGTGGAAAATGCTGAAGTTCACGTAGAACGAGGAACAGAGCAGCTCCAGAGAGCCAGTTACTACCAGGTGAGTGCAGCAGCTGTCAGTCTTGAGTGCTGTCAGTCAGTGAGGTCCCTGCCACTAACCCCCCAGTGTCCGCTTCTTTATCACAGCAAAAGTCCCGGAAGAAGATGTGCATCCTTGCAATGGTTTGCTCCATCGTACTTGTCATACTCAGCATCATCATCTGGCAAGCTGCGAAGTGAGTCGGCCGTACAACCAATGTGACACTTCTATATTTAACTGTGCCCCCTCTCACCTGCAAATACCTGCTTGGAATGATGAAAAGAGGCTGATGAGTGTGTTAAGTTCAGTAGAGTACATTTGTGCAGTGGGCTGGTCAGTGAGGAAACACATACTGTCGTCACCTGATCCAGCCTGTTGCTGTAATATAGCTGAACAACATTGAAACTGAGAAGATGAGGTGGTGAAGGGGAGCGATTTAAGACCTGAGATTCCTTTTTTTGCGTCATTCATTTCTTGTCTTATTTACTGCACTAACACTAGCTGTAACTGTATATCTGTATGTCGCTGTATATAGAAATGTTCAGACATAAGCATAATAACAATAAAAAATGCAGCTTGTCAAAGTAAAATCCATGGTTTTAAGGGTTGTAAATGATTATTTGTCACCTGGTTTAATGCTGATGTAGAGTATGTGCAGGGCCACAGGATCTGCTGTGGCTCTTGGCCTTCACAATGACATTACATGGGACTAGTATGACAGCGGTGGTGAAGGCACGTGTGATTGTACTATACATGTTGTAAAATGAAAACTGAAGCTGATTACCAATATAAATGAAACCCATGTCTGTAAATATCCCAATGCTGCATTATATTCTGCTAAGATCATTCTGGATGATAATGACAGTGTTTAAAAAATGAAAGTCTTCAAACAAAACATATTTAAATGAATTTCTATGACTCCTGGCAGTATGCATAATAAATGTTTTAAACTCTTCTAACACTCCTTTGGACTGTGTCATCAGTTTTCCCCCCTCCAAGTCTTAAAATGTTGGTTCAGGGCTTTTCTTCAGGGAAGTCCAGGTCTGTGTTTGGCCTGGAATCTTTGGAAGTTTGATCTGATTGATTCTAAACAAAGGTAAACCACAATTTTATTTTTGTGATCTCTGCCATGATTTATATCAGTTATGATGATGTTAAACTTGACAAAGAGAGATACACATCAGGGCTGTCACTTTTTATTCTAAATTTGAACATTAAACTTGACAGTTTTGGTTGTTTTCCAATAAAAATGGGTGACACTAGTAAGCAAAGCTGGTCTGAGCATGAATCATGACACCAGTGCATTTGAGAAGCGTTGTGTTGATATATTCTGGGTTCTACAATGTAGATGGCAAAGTTACAACCAAAGCTGAGGCTCTTGGTAGCTCTTGGAGGCTCTGCAGTAGTTTACTGCATTAAAACAAACGTATCTGTGGGCTCACCTGTAAGCAGCAGAGGAGTGCTTAACCTTGTCTGACTGCAATACTGTGTCATGTCAAATTCATTCCAACTAGACTTTTTGAAAAACAGACAGATCTAACTCACGCTCTATTGTAATTGAGCGAAATGAATGATATAGCAGCAAAAAAAAAAAAATGGACGTCATCAACTGCAACATCTTTGCGTTCTTTTAAAAGCACTTCACATTGAAAGAATAGGGTAAAGTAATAGAGAAACCCAACAGTTTCCACGATGTGCAACTGTGGAGAGAAAAACCTCCCACATTAACTGGAAGAAACCTCCCGCAGAACCCGACTGCCTCGACCAGTTGGGGTGAGTGGAGAACAGAGAGGAGACAAGAGAGAGAGAAACCATATTTAAAATCTGTCAGACTGGTTGTTACAATAAAAAGAGTGATTTCTATAGAGTCAGTTATATTAATGATAGTTGTATCAGTATATAATAATAGTGATAATATAATAGTAATAAAACAACTGTTGTTCAGTAGTGTCTTGCTCCTTATGAGAAAAGGAGAGAAAGCACAAACCATGGGAGATAAAAACAGTAAGTGATGTGTAGGTAAAGCAACAATGAAAACGCAGTATAGAAATATTATATAAAATATTGAAGTAATAATATTTTTCCAAAAGGGGGCAGTGCATTTCCAGACTTTTCATCCCCATGTGCAGAGGCAGCACTCTCTCATCACACCTGTCTGACAGCTGATGGATGTGGACTGTGTGTATTAGAAGTGCAACATTTCAACTTCGCTCTTCGTCAGTCACACAGGGTGAAAGTACTGTTTCTCACTACTGCTACCCTCAGTCACACTGCCCCTCTCTGTTTTTTTACTGGTTTACCTCACAATTATAATACAACCTGCTAATCACATCTCGGTGATGTTTCATGTTAACCGAATTTCTTATTCTTAATTGCCTTAGCGACCAATCAAACCTCTTTATTGCAAGTCATGTTCACCCATTCACACAGTGCTTTTAAAAATCATTCATACACTGTGAGCACATCACTGGGGCAATTTGGGATTTAGCATTTTACCCAAGGACACTTCAGAATGTAGACTGGAGGTGCCAGGGATTGAACCACCAACCTTCTGTTGTTTCCCATCTCCTCACTCGTCGTATGTTGCGTTAGATTGTTACTCTTGACCACTCCCCTTCTCCTAAAACCTGAACGGGGGACTTTTGCGACATAAAGATGAGGAACATATCTGATTTATCAATGACAAATATGGCACTAAATACGAGTTTTATTACTTTTGTCCAGCTCAGAAAACTGTAGTTATGTAAGATGAAGAGTTCTAATGTGCTCTTGGACTGGTTTTCTAATTTTATCACATTAGTCTGACTTTAATGTTTTTGGCCTCCACGCAGAGCAGGTAATTGGCACCACTCCCTGCTGCCAGTTTCAATCTTCCATCTGTCTTTAAGTAGCACAGAGGTGCGTGAGAAGGAAGAACACTGGTGTAGAAGGAGTTTGACAACTTGGGGGAGCTCACATGTCTCGACTGTAACTGGCACAAGGTTTCTGGTGTCCTGTGTTTTTTCCTCGTTGGTTGTCTGGTTGAGTTACTGATATGGATATTTGACTCGGAGCAGAGGGGTGGCAGGACTCCCTCCAACCGACTCGACTAATGTCCAGTCTTTTATTAAATCCAGCTGCTTCAGCAGCTCAACAGCAACGAGCTGGAACTAAATTAAAACATGCAGCCAAAAAAACATCAAATATAACACCAACCATCATTTTAACTTTTAGCTCAAGTCCAGTGCTTGGATCTGACTGCATTATATTACAGTGATTTGAAATAAGATTTTTGACAGCAATTTTATTTCAGCATATGGAACTTGTATTTCAGTTTTGAGGCATATGCCATTAAGTGAAACAGGTTCAGCTCTAGTTGCACAACAGTCCAGTGAGACTAATCACATAATAAGCTAATACAGGCTCTCACTGTTTTAAATACTAGGTTAAACATTAGGCTTTGCTTGCTGGCAATGCACCAGTGCTCCACCTGCCCTTTTGCAATATTAAGAAATACAGCATGGAGCTGTACGAGCATGTGAAGCAGTAGTCTAGAATATGAACATACTGAGATACAGAGCTACTGAGCTATTTTGGAATAAAATGTGTCAGTCACATTCCTTTAGTGAAAGCTTGGTTCTGGATGGATGGGACATTCATGCATCAATGGAAAAACCAGGAACATTTTACTGGGGTAGAAAAAACAGCATCACAGAAAGCAGCTGTCCTTCGGCTGAGGAGCTGAGCTTGTGTGTACTTGCACACTTACAGCATCCCTGTTTCAACATCTTGTTTTTAGCTCATACAAAAGAGAGTCAAGCACAACTGTTTAAAGCATTAGAACAACCCAAGACAAGGAAAGCATCAATAAAATACCTTTGAAAATAGTATGTTCTTAGATTTCAAATATTCCACATAGTTTGCTGACCGAGTACCCAAAGGCAGAATGGTACATTTCAGTCCTTAAGCGAAAGAGCAAAAAGAAAGAATGTCTCATTAGAGCTCCACAGGTACCCTAACCTGCTCAGTTTTTTTGGAGATGGACAAATACCACATTCACTAAAATGAAATGATACAACCTCAGTAGCTAACATGTTTTAGTAACATTAGAGCCATATCCAACCCCTCTATACATCTTAAAAAGATGTTGCATGCCAGTTATGGGATTATTTGCACACGAATAGCCTTAAGACTCTCAGTCAGTATTAAGAATGTATCATAGCACAGAAACAGGACAGCTGTAGGTTGACCTTTTCATTGTTTCAGACAATGGCCAAGTCCTGCTTGATGTTAGTGCTGACTCCATCAATCACCACAGACTCTCACACGTTATTTGTATTAAAGTAACTGCCAAATGGACTGTATTTATATAGCACTTTAAACTACAAGGCAGATTTACTCACATATTCATACAGTGCTACACCACCATGATAAGCTGCACTTGCACCATTCACACACTGTAGGCATACCCATCAGGGGCAATTTGGGGTTCTGTATCTTGCCCAAGGGCAATATGCACACTGGAGCAGCCATGGCTCTTCCTCCCTAGCCACTGCTGCCCAAATTACAGTAAGTCTATGAAAAGTCTCCAGGTGATCCAAAGCGCTGCAGCACGACAGCAACTACAAAAGATCATGTTAAACCTGTCTTATCCTCTATGCATTGGCTCCCTGGAAAATTCAGAATAGACTTTTAAGTCATAGACTTGCTCCTCACACACACAGAAATAATAATCAAGTCCTGACATAAATAAAGAGCTCATAACATAGTATTGACTTTGTTCCCTAAACACAGGCTCTCTCTCTCTTGTGGTTCGTTGAATCTGTAGCCTTCAGCTACCAGGCTCCTCTCATGTGGAACAAGCTCCCAGTTTGGGTTGGACACCCGCTTTACATTTGAGGTGAGGCTTAAAATTTTACTCTTTGATAAAACTGCTGGTGGAACTTCTATCATGAACTGAGAACTTCTCTATCTATCTATCCATTCATATATTTAATTTCATTATAACAACCAGTCTGACAGTTCTTAAATATGACAGTTACTGTTCCTGCCCCTTCGAACACACTGACACGAAGACACTCATGCACACACACGCACTGCACACCCATTGATCGTTAGCTGCCCACCTCTGATTTGCTTAGAGGTGTCTCCTTAAGGATTTCTTCTCTATAGATACTATAGCCAAGTTCCTAATCCACAGCTGGGTTTCTGTTTACTCAAAGACCTCAGTTTTCCTTGCTTGAATATATGAGTTTATGACAAGATCTGTCAACAGAGAAGATTCTCTGTCCGACGAACATGCAAACAATTGAACCTTGAAAATACAATAGAAACATCTCAGTATTATAGCATATGGTCAGGGAAACACAGTCAATTTATCAGAAATTATGAGCATGAGCTGGAGGGGTTATTAGGGGGGAGGGGAAGTTTTGTTTTTGGGGCTCCTGACAGGGGGTTGAATGATGGGCTTCCTACAGAACTCCTATGAAAGAAGGAAATGGATGAATGGCATGGAGGTGGCTGGAGTGGAAATGGGTCATGTGCACACAAACAGATAAGTTGAATAGTGAGGAACAGCGGGAGGGTGGATTAAAACCTCTCCACGTGGTTG